TAACCGTTGATCGAATCAAAGTTTTAGCTTTTTGGCCGTGCCCGCAATTAGTCCATAAACTACCCAAATATAGCTGGCTCCATATTATGATTCTATTTTAAAACATTCTATAATATAGTTAGAGTAATCTCCTTCTCAGATTATGATCATCACCAAACTTGCTACGTACGATTACACCCGCCTCAAATGCCCATCTCAATAAAGCAATAACCACCAAACCTTAAAAAAGCATATTGTGTCATCTAGACGTGATGTGGAGTAAGTTGTACAGTTACTTCCTGTTACTACGTCTCAGCACTGCAAATAACTCTGTTACGTAAACAGTAAGAGGACTCTAAGTCCCCCTCAATGTCTCGCCCTGCCTCCCTCTCTCTCCTTATGTCCTAAGTAGTGCAGTCGTCTGAACTGATCATTTATCTAGTTCCCAGGTTGAAATAATCGGGTCTAATCAGTAATCAGGCCGCACTAATCAGATCTTATCTTAGTATCTGATTAAATTAATTGAGTGATCACGCCCCTGATTCCGCTCCTACCAAGCTAGTTTGTGTGGTAGTGCGATTATAGTCGTAAACCACACCAATTTTAACGCCACCCCGAGTACTAACAACCCGGTTCCTTACAACTCAATGATGATTCATGATCAAATGACTCGTCCCACGTTTTCTCCTTTTCCGATAAAATAGACGGCGTGGTCGGGGGAATGTTTTGTCACTGTTAATCATCTTAATTCCATGGTATTAAGGAGCCGAAAAGCGGTTGCGCTCAAGGTGGTTCTAAAACAAATTTTCTTCATGGGAATTTTAGGACTTCGACCTTTGACATAAATTTAGTTAACATTTCTCCGTAACCAGATCCGTATAGCGTATAGCGACCGGGCCACAACCTTGTATATCGTTATCATTGAGGGAACTCTACTTTGCTCCGGTGCAGTTCAGGCTAGCATTTAATTTGATCTCTCTCGCATTAATGAAGTTGTATCAAAGTTCCGATATCGGTGAGATTTTTGAAGATTTCATATCTATTTTAGTGAAAACTAAGCCGCGTTATAATTTTGCAAGATCTGCAAAAAATGCTTCTTTACTCAGAAAAATGTGCAATTTTAATTCAGCTTGATGATGAATACATTTTCGTTAAACTAATGATTTGAGAGACCAAAATACAAGATCCATTCACAATACAGACTATAAAATTAAATTTAAACCCTATCAAATTAAAGGAACCCAAACCAGAGCAGATGTTTTCACGACTTTTACACATACTTTGACGCCATAAGAGCCGGGACGAACAAATGTAGGCTTCGCGATTTCATGAGAACTACCGCGGTATTCAACGTATGTTTAAAATCAATTACGTTTTTCCTGTACCCTAATGTTCCGCCAGCCGGTCGCACAGCATTAAAAATTCTACCAATGATGAAGATTTTATCGTGGTGATCCTTTTGTTCCCATTCATAACACAGTTTAGTGTCGCTGCTTAGGCTGTTTAACCTCACCGACGGTTTGTTTGTGTGCCCTGTTAAGTGCCCTGTTTACTGGTTAGTAGCTCTGAAGGGGAAAGCTATGTTGGAGTGCACTTGACGGTTTTCGTTTAGAAGAATGACGAGTGGTCGACTGATAGGAGGGTTCAGACTATTGTGCACGTTTTGATCATTTCTTTATCGTCAGCTATAGTTTTGGGTGTTAAGTTTAACACTATAGAGAATACCTGACAGTAACAGGATTGTACCGGCCAAATTTGGCAAAGTGATAGCACGTCAAGTTGTCGTGGTATTTGATCGACTGCCAAGTCACAGGTGCGAGGAGAAGACTCCTTGACTGCATGAAGTGTTACTTCCATTCTCAGGATTCTTCTAAAATCTAGGCTCTAACTTTTTGAATTCCGATGATTTCAGTCGACGATGCATTCTTAAAAATAGTTATTCTCTCATTTTATTTGGTTCAAGGGCCATTTCGTGTAACGTTGCAATGAATATTTTAATATGCCGACAATCGAACTTAATGGTTTCACTGCTATCTCTATCCTTATAAATCACATTTTTTTATGATTTTTGTTCATAGATTAATTGCGTGATTTGATTTAAAGTGTAATTTTAGCTAGCCAGGGCTAGAATTTAATTGTGCACATACATGGACAGTTCAACTTAATCATTTTCATGGTAGCTTTTAAACGTTTCAAAGCTTATTCTATGAGTTAAACGGCGGACTTCTTTGAAAATTAGATAAAAATAGCCAGCTATTTTTGCAGAACGAGGATCTTCTTTCAATTTAAGTCTCTTTCACACTGAGACTTAATTTCTATGGAAAGAACTTGAAATATTTTTATTGGATGAAACTTGCCGAAATGACGTAGGAAGGTATATTAAAAGGCCACCAGTACCTTTCAACCGTTTATTTCTCATTGTAACCATTCTGCTTCTAATCTCGAGCACCATCTTTTACTCACGAATATTTCCAGAGCCTCGTTACACCTAAAAACCTAATTACCCCGGAAGACAACCATTTTCCCGGTCTAAAATTTCAAAACTTGTCAATCAGTCCCTAATTTTACGCAAAAATTTGTCAAAAAGTTGCTGTGCTGCCCAACTTCCAGGAAAAGCAGACTGACAGCTTGATTTACAATTTACATTGGTGCTCTGTTTACCTACAGTTATAATCAGTCAGCTGTATATGAAGCTGCTAGATATTGAATACCTGTCTTACTTCTTAGACCCGTTGTATAGGAGGGTCCGGCTAGCTAGGAGGGTCCGGCTAGCCCAACCTAGTTCATTTGTAACAAATTTGTAAATCAATATTAGTATTATTATCACAATAAGTATGTCTCGAGTATTGATTAATTACAATTGTGACAAGTGCTTAAACAAGGGACGTTAAAGGGGCGAACTTTGAATAACTGTCGGTCAATTGCGATAACACTGGATATCTAGACCACGAGAACTTCACGTGTATTTCCTAAAATATTGATCACTTTAAATTAGTTTGCAGTCGTATGCGGCCGTTAACATTCTTTTGATATTTTCGACTTGGTTTACAGTGCTGATTGCGGCACCTGGGTAGGTATAGGCAGAGTGCTGCTGCCACTCTGGCGCATTTACAGTCGCTGAAGCGAGTTTCACCTCTACAATTACCTTCTCAGCTTCGTTATCAGGCGTTTGCTCTGAAATTATTTGCTGAAGCTACTAAAATACAGCTTTTTCTGTCAACATTAGCATGTGTTTAATAAATTAAAGATAAAGTTCCCCCTTTTTATACTGATTGAGCGTTTTTTAAAAACATTTCCAAAATTAGCAGAGGTGCAGTTCACATAACTTCCAATAAGTGTCGTACTCAAGAGAAACCTTACCAACGTTCTTTCCTTCAGTCCACTCCAATTGAATTATCATCAACAATATATTGTCACAAAATAATCGTAACATTTGAAGTTGCTTCAGAGTTATAAAACTCACCAGTACCCCTCAGTATCGATTGAGGGTGCTAATATATCAGTGGATGACGGATTAATACTACCTCGATTATGTTCGTATATTGTGCAGTGTGAACAGAGTGAAAGTGTTGTGCTCCTTCATAAATTCAATTGTGCATTATAGTGTGAACAGGGGTCAGTGTTGTCACGTTTAATTTGGTTACTTGTTTCACCTTACAGTGGAACACTTCACTCGTTATCTTGATTCTCCGTGAGCAAATATAAGCCGTGAATTTGACATTTCACGGCGGATATGGATGAAAATAAGGTTTCAAAAATACCTTCTTAAACGTAGCTTTTAAACCTGCTTGCACGTTTAACCTACTCCCACTAGGACATAAATAAAGTACCTTTCAAAGTTCCGACTTTATCTTCTATGTAACCATCCCAATATCTAGACCTTGTTAAACTCAAACGGCCGCCAAATTTCCTGCTTCTAATTTGACGATGCGGTCGCGATATGTTATCGGCATATTGTTATAAGGTGAGGGGTGTTGGGAGGGAAACTGTCTATGGATTCGTACCTGCAAGTGATTTTAAATTTAAGTGAGGTAAGAGCCACCAAACTGACTTTAATCTTGTCCTTAGTCCTTTTAACTTGTAACAAATATCGGATATAATGCGAATTTTCACTATTTCAAAAATTCCTTTTGCTGTTTCAGCATTTGATCTGGACAAATTTTGGTCAACTTTCAGCTTCACTCATTTTATAAATGACAGCTGCTTTGCTGTCTTTGTAACTCACTTTTCACAAAAATTTAGCGTTGTCGGTTTTTTATTCTCTGGATAAAAATAAATTGCTAACAATCTTATTTTTGACTATCGTATTGCTTTCGTTCCAACTTTGGCCTCTGTTCAAGAATTTTATTTAGAGTCATGGTACGGGAAGAACATACGGTATTTAATTGTGCTTTATCTTAGTATGGGACTAACAGGTACTCCCTTATGTTTGTAACATATTGATTACTATCATAACTCCTGGGTGAACTGCTTGACGGGGTCCCAGTGAATTAACAATTATAATCATTTAAAAAACTTTTTGTTAAAAGTTTGGTTTTTGTTAAAAGATATGCTTTTGATCTGGTCTGATCCTATTTTTTGTTTGACGGGTCATATTATAACTTTATAACACCCGTCAAACAAAAAGTAACCAGAACCCACAAGATTTAAGAAAATTTTTAAATTTTTAACTATTAACACTGGAAAAGGTTTCAAAAATTGATTATAGTTAATTCCAAAGAAGTACAAAGTACGAAATACTCAAGTAGTAACGAAGTACCCATATCCCACTGGCTATTCTTAGAAAAATGCATAGTATTTTCAAGATTCAATTGACTGTCATGCACTTCTATCTTAGTAAAACATTTTACGATATAACTTTCGTGGAGGACACCCAGTAGAAAAAAATATGTGGCCTATTACTATTTGTAGTAATTATTCTAATTATAGAGAGACAGAGGAACTTCCCGCAGCACATTGCAGCTACACCACTAAGACCTGATGTAGTGATCTATTCAGATAAAGCAAAGAAGGTTTATCTGATGGAGCTGACTTGTGGAAATGAGCAGAACTTTGCTGATCAAGAGAAGCGAAAGATGAAGAGATATCAGCAGCTGACAGAAGAGATAGAAGCCAACGGATGGGCTTGCAAGCTCCAGACAGTAGAAGTGGGAGCTCGAGGCATTTACAACTATAGCCTCCCAACCTTTATGAACCACCTGAACGTAAACAACAAAGAGAAGAAGAAGGCCTGCATGAAGATCGCTGAGATCAGCCTGAGGGCATCGTACACCATCTATTTGTCCAGAAACAATACCATATGGACAGATGATTGGGAGTTAGTCAAGAGACCAGTAATAGCATAGTAGGAGCGTAGAATGTTTGGGCCCAGAAAAACATGTTTAATACCGCTATGAACCCGTCATAAGCCGGGGACTACTATGAAAATGATGATGCTGTGTTGTTGAAAGACCTTCGACCAATCAAAGATGTACCTCATCACGCCAAGCAGTTATGCTTGTAGGTGAATATACACTTATAGAGTACAACAACTTTATAACACTCCAATAGTTGTAATTAATTAGTTCTATTATTTATATCAATATATTTGCAAGGTTGTTAGGGCTTTAGGGTTGTTAGTGTTATTTAGCTTTTGCTTGAAATGCCTTACGTTTCGTCTTTGAGTAATATTGCCAAAACTTATTTCCAGAAAAATTTACTTGTAGTTTTGAACATCCGCACAAGATCATTAAACCGGCTTTATCAATCAACCATCCTTTGATAAATCATTTAAAGAACTAGGAAGATCTTAACACTAAAACTCTTAGTCACTTAGTTTGACGCACGAACAATGAACATTGCAGTATCCTGTCTCAACCTCGGTTCTATTTGCCGATTTAAACACATCTTTTTACCGTGATCAGATTAACAATACGATCTGTAGTCTGCCCGATAACAACAACACATTGTCATGGAATCGGAATCATGAACTAGAAATTAACGGTCTGGGTTCATTCGATCAGAAGTATAGCTAAGTATAAAGACGGTCATGATTCTAAAATAGTCATGTTTCTCAGATGGTCATGATATACCACGAGAATCATTAGTTAAATACAGATGATTTTATTTACAAACTATTCTTTAATCGTATTATACAGCTGGGATAGTCCCAAGTAGCTTGGTACCTACTTTACCCAGTGTATTATTAGCTACAACCAGATATTTTGCCGTCAAATTATAGCTTTATTTAAAGACTGAGTGTCCATTTTTTTATTAGTTTATTGGTCAATTTTTGTGGAGCCCCTATAATTACGTTGACACTTATAATAAATTCTTGCTGAACACTATTTTTATAGAATAATGAATGACCAAAAATAGTTCGGAGCCGTGAACTTTGATGACTGTAATTTAAAAGTTTTCTAAACGAAAATACAGTTCCAGCCGGATGTGTCTCGCATTTTTGACAAATTTATATTTCCTTACTTCGTAACCACTTCACTAAGGAATTTACTCGCTATCTCTCCATTGATTGTTCATTCATTCATTGTTCTTATTGATTATTTGTCAAACTAATTTCCAGGAAATTCGGATCCAGGAAATTGTTGTTCATTCAAATTCTACAATTTTCAGCGGATTGTTTACCACTGACAGCAACATTTTAATTTTTAACAGCCTGATATTGTGAACGCAAGAAAGTCGATTGGCTTATCAGTTTGTTTACTGTATTATAAGTGTATAGCCAATGCCATACATTTTAAAATAACATGTTTTAATATGCTATAAATTCGGCAGGATCTTTGGCTGCTATTGCTTGTTGTGATATATTCGAGATTTTATAGCTCGATTCTTTATTTTTGGCGAACTTTAACGGATTGTTTTTAGAGCCCAATCCCGAACCAACAAAATGAATTGTACAAATAGGTAAAATTTTCGGCCAAAGAATTTCTAACTTGCTGTCTTTCCGGCCATAACTACAATTCCTCAGAAGAAAAAGACAAGCCGGAAAACTTACGTCATGTACCACAATACCATATGCTTATGACTCACTGGTCATTATTCATAATTAATTGAATTCTTCAACGTATATTATCCACCCTCTACCTGGATCTATAATTGAAGGATTGGAGACAGGGGCTAGCAGTCAGCAAAGCTTGACCCTGACCAGTGACGGTCAAGATTTACTAAAACATTTTAAATTCACATTTTTTGTCTGATTAAGGAAAACTAATGATCATTGTGATTGATCCCAAGAGAAACATAGGAAAAAAGTATGAATTTACCGGCGCTTCACTGAACTTTCTAATTGACACCCTTGACTCCTTACTGGTTCAAAATATTATCCATATTTTTTTACGAATAGTATTTGGCGCCAGCAAGGATTTTAACCCCCTAGACGATAAGTGGACAAATATTTTCTGACACCATGATAACCACAAAGAGGGTAAAATTTAATGCATAACCTTGAAAAAATTTGACAAATGCTTTGAGACGCCGAACAAGATTATTTTTTACATTTGTCGTCCTACTTTACCCTGATTAAGGAATAGTGCCTACATAATAATGTGAGTCATCAGTCTAAATCAAGCGAGTACGATACGTCTATCTTACCCCTGCAAAAAACATTCCATTATTCCTTATATCACTGAATATATTTACCCACGCCTTATAATATCGATACATTGGTTTCCCCTTATATCACTGATATTTATTTACCCACGCCTTATTTCGGTACATTGGTTTCCCCTTATGTCATATTCCAAGGTTTCCCGATCACACTTCTCGAGATACTAAAATTACCCGGCACGTTTCCGGCACGTTACCGGCACGTTTCCACGACCAGATGGCTTTGACCGGGTACTTCCGCGGGGAACAGGATATAATAACGACTAATGAGTAATGAACGAGCTGCGTCTGAGTTGCTGATCTACTTAAACATTGTCTGATCATGACCAGCGGATCGTGGGGGTGATCAGCTGTACCTTGTCTTCGTCTGGTGCATGATCCCCGACTCAATAACGAATATAACAAACTCGACATTAGTCTCCCGTAAGGTTATAATGTCATTGATTATTGTCCCATTAACAGTTAACACTAACTTGTTACATTCTTGTGACCAAGCCTACCCTGTTCGTCGATATTGACCCGATACTTTTCTGGTTTGTTGGGCTACCTGAATGTGCGTGGAAACGTTTAATTGTCGCGTTGACTCTTGAGAAATTACGGAGTTGCTATAAGCGCATACGGTGTTCTTTTTAATATTGCCGTCGATATTATTTTCGTATAACGCCCTAGAATTAAGATAGCAGTGTCCAATATCTCAATATAATCTAAATTTCATGCTCGATTACTGATAATTTTTTGACTGCATGCAGCTACTTTAGTACTTTGTCAAGAATTCATTTATATTTACATGCCTAAACAAAATTTAGAGTCGTGGTGGATGTTATCAATCGTGGACACTGGACCGCCTTTTTTAGTGTCTTATTCTAAGAACATAGAAGATTTGATATATTTTGTAAATTATAGCTAGTATCCATGTCGTCAAAAATAGCTGTCGGACAAAAATAACGGCTCTGATTTCACCGATCAATTTTTCGATGACTTACAATTTAAAACAGAATTTATCATTTAAAATTTGCTTACTAATAGTTACTACTTTTAAATTTTTACCAGTTAACGTAATTATGACTATGACGTTAACCGATAAGTTGACGCCCATTCTCGCACTACATTTGATTTTCCTGGCATTAAACCGATTATGTCTAAGCTAGTATATCCCGTTTTTAAACTATAAAACATTTCATTTCATCGCTTTTTAAATATTCCTGATTAGATCTCTAATTCCGCGTCAACATTTTAGACTGAAATTTCTGATAGAGTGTATTACAGTAATGGAATTTCTCAAACCCAGTGTATTTATCTATAGAGCTAACTGAGTTATGACTCTAATTAGTGGTAAAATGGTCATAAGTAAAACATTGTCTGGTGTCTTTGCATTCACGCCGTTTTATTGCTCGTATAAGATTGAAATACTGTCCTCACTGCATGGCCTCCTGGCTAGCGGCCAACGGGCCAAACATGTATCAAGAATCATGAAGACTGAAGAGTCAAGATCCCTTCGGTGGAACTTATGGAGCTATGGAATTTTATAAAAGTTTAAAAATCCAATCCAATAAAGGCTAAAGCACCAGGCCACTGCAGTTTAAAGAAATTGTAATGTAGCTGAAGTGGCTACTGCAAATTTTCTCAAGCTTCAGTGAACAGTCGCTACATCAGACATACATCACTGCTACCTTGTTACAATTTCATTACATCGTTAAGAAAAGAGAGGCTTTAAAATGCCTTTTTGAACAAAGTAATGCCGAAGAACAAAGCAATTTTCTTTTAAAATCAAATGAAATAGAATCCGATTTACGGTGGCTAATGATGATAATTAAAACCTTGGTGGCACTGGACTACCCACGGACTAATACCCGCCCTTGCTTCTCCGGGTGAAATTGTGCCGACAACCCTATAGAGCCACCACGGTGCACTGTCCCCCCACTTCTAGTAGTGACACCCGGGACAAGTCACAGTGGTCACACAAGCAGAACAAAACTACACAACTACTTTAAAAAGCAGGACAATGTCGGCTACTTCAAGTCTACTTTAAAATAATTTAGTTACTGTATCGATTACTTGTTTGAGTAGTTCTCTCCACGACATGCAGTTTCACAGCTTAATTAAGAGTCCTGCTTGAGACTGATTTTCATTTATTAGGTGTTTTAAAAGTTGAGGTTTATTATTTGAGCAGCTTTGAAGTATAAGAATCAGTGAAAATTAGAGTTCATTGTTGAGTTGTTTAGTTGTGGTTTGTGGTGAGGATATGTTCGGGGGCATTCCAGCATGATCCCCTCAAAGAAATGAATGAGACGTTTCTGTGGAGATTCTTATTGTCTCTGTTGGCTGTAAACTGTAAACATGTGGAGAAAGTCTGATCAGATGGAGTGGGTGTGAGTTCATCAGCAGCTGAAATAACAATTAACACTTCGTTTAGTTCCCAGCTCAGTTTAGCGCTTTTTAATTTAGTTTTCACTTCTGATTAGCACTTTGTAATTTATTTACAGTTACTTTCATGTTCCTATAATTAACACTTATTAACTGGTTTAGTTTCTCATTTCAGAGGTCCCATAGTTTTTCTCGAAGTTCATGCTTATTTAAAGCCATACTTCAGGCTTAGGCCTATGCCGGACAATAAAGATTAAAGAAGGTATTAAATTCCCGAATTTCGGGCTGAATTTCAGTCTATGAAAAATGAAAAGGATCCGCCAAAGTGCGGTGGAATTCTCAACCTTAATCTTTTTCACAATTTGCCGGATTGTTTTAGTACATTACACAATTAGCCCATGCCACCACCACAGTGAATTATGCAGTGGATTTAGTACGTATTACTTGCCTAATTTTCATTTGATCTTCGTTCTAGAAGACAGTAACTACGATTACTGAGCACCGTTCTTATTAACTTGTTAAGGATGGAATATGTGTTACTCTGGATCTATATTCTATCCCTCCTTTCCAGTAAAGATTGTAACTTGTCCCATGATTTCTACCAAAGTCGAGCTTCATTCTTCACATTGTCTGTATTTTGAGTTTAGATAGAAAATATATGGAAAAACAAAAGCCGATGAGGTCATGTAGTGAATCGGGATGGCTGTGCCTGTATGAGCGCTAGATTAAATTCTTAACTAAAGGTATAATAGCCATGGTGTCTCTCTGAAGTACTCAGTGCTAAATCAATTGGCTTTGACTCTTGAAGATTTCCGTGGGATTATTTTTTCAAATATTGCTACAGTCCGAGGAACTCGTATTGATGAGGCAAATCGAAGCTTTGACTACTGCAGGCGAAATTACTATGCTTAGCGACAATTTTCATAAAATTTGTTTTTTTTCAAGTTTGAGATGGATTCGTAATCCTCTTCGCGTCCCAGAGTGGCCTTTCTATTATCTTTCAGTTTCGGATTAATCATATTTAAATTTGGAAAAGTTCGATCCCGTACGCCGAACTCGATTACAAAGGCTTCTTGTTGTTGATAATGTGGGTTATCGGTAAGTTTTTAAAACTTTGGAGTGTGTCACCAGTTAGTCACACTACTTGATCCCACGGCAAAAGAGCCGCGTGACCCTCTGATCAAATTTTAGGTTTTTTGAGGGTGAATTACGCGTGCCAATTGATAATGTACTACACGATTATTATATACCCACCGACATCTTTCTTACGGCTGATCGATTGTTAGTTGAACATTTTAATATGTTACATTAAATCTACCGAGTCTCATTAGCTTAGTCTGTGTTAGTTATTATGGTCCTACTTCTGGTGAGGTTCTGTGCTTTGATCTCAGCGGGACTAGGAGAACTTAGATAGTGAGTTTGTCTGGACGGTAAAAATTCACCAGTATTTCTCTTGGGGTCTGTGAAATTTCACTGGGATTTCTTTTCAAATAGAACAGATTAAATACTTCCCATTGACGCCACTCGGACATGTACCGATCACAAAAAGCGAGTTACGCACTTTTTATCGTTCAAACATTGAAGAGAGTTTTCTTTTTATTGTCTAATTAATTACCAATTAACTACTGACCAGCTAGTGATACTAAAGTTCAAGCCAACTTTGCAGTGCAGAATTAATGCACATCTTCCATGTTGATTACATTTAGCACAGTTGTTTGCTTTTGTCAACAAATCAATAGCTCAATAGCTCAATAAGTCAATAGCTATAATATAATTATATGCTTGCCCATCCTGTAGAAGTAATGTTTATGTAAACAAAGAGATATACTGCTGACTTTCACTTATCTGAATATTCACAATTTCTTGATATTCAACCCAATCGATTTACACCTTTGTTCAGCGACATTCCCTCCCCGATTTTTATCTAATTTTTCAAGTTTAATTTCGTTTAGTTTAGGATATTGTTATACCTTTAATCTTTATACTGCCATATGATTCTGTCACGTTTGATTGATTTAGAGCGTATTATTCTCCAATCTCGTTACTATAATCACAGTTCAAAGCGGTTTCCCGAGATTCACAACGATATCGTTTGTATCCTGTCCACCTACATCCCTATATGATCCGTGTTGTACCTGGCCTTATAATTACGGTTCTTAATTGTTGTTTTATTTATTTTATCAAACTGTAAATATATTAATTGTTTGAAATAACGTGCCGACACGGGTTGCTGCGTTCGTTTGGTCGTGAGTCTGAGGAAGTTTGAGATATCTCCGGCAAGATAGAACCAAAGAATACTGTCTCTTTATCGGCCTCTGCGGTTATTGTTAGCGATTATCAGCATTGATTGTAATTCCAGTAAAGTTAATCACACTTGCATTTTTGGAAACCAGCTTCAAGTCATCGTTTATAGTTTATTTTCCGTAGATTATTTTTGATTATTAATTTTGATTAGGTTTGTGATCAAATCTTCTATTCAGCGCCTTTTGTCCGAAGAAAATGAAGGGATAGACTGTAGACAGGACCTAATAACGTAGAACCACTACATTTTTATATTCAGTATATTATAATATACAACATATATATATTATAATATACAACATATATAATATTATATAGCTTAATAATCGATTTTTCTTTTTGAAGGGTCGCCTTGTGTCTAACCGCTTTGCATATCCGGATTCCTCAAAGACTTGTTTGTTGGGTCAGTCAAACAAGTCTTAAGTGTGAACTCTAAAAGTTAGGATCAAGGCAGAAGTTCGATGAGTTGCCAAGAATCATCACACCACGCCAAAGATTTAGTTTCAGTATATTTTCTTTTGTAAATCGGTTTTCTTTTTGAAGGGTCGCGGCTTTCTGAAACTATAATGATTGTGCCGCTTGTCAAAAAGAAATGTTTGGGATAACCAAACAGGTTGTAAGTCTGAAGTTTTGAAATCTGACGAATTAAAGTTTTAAATCTAACACGTCTGTTTGTTAGTACGTCAGTACAAAAAGTTTATTAAGCACCAAAAATGTTAATCAAAATTTTGGGCGTTGTAAGTTAGACTTAGTGACGTGAGACATGCTGCAAAGGTATTTGTAGATTGTATGATCTTTATGATTGCGTGCTAGTTGTCTATAACAAAGTTTCTTTAATAATTCACAAAGGAGACTAGATGAGTCATATTTAGTGCTTCAGTGTGAGTTAATAAATTGATATTGTGCACTTTACTAATCAGATAATTAACAGATAATTAATTAATAATTAACAGATAATGATAATCAGATGCACTGTGCTGGTTGCTCTAACACTGTGGACAGCTGAAGCTTTCATCAAACCTGTAAGTACTTTGAGCTGGAGGGGGAGAGTGAGGGCGAGCTGGAGGGGGGAGGGGGAGGGGGAGGGGGAGAGGTTTGCTGTCCTGATTTAAAACTTTATAAATCTATTCTAACTTTTTAAAATAGTCACATTCACAGCAGAACAGTTCAAAATATTTGTAAATCAGGGGTACATATAATTAAAAGCTCACGTTAACTATTGTATTTTAGCGATAAAATGTTTAAAAGGCTTACCTTGAATCTGTTTTGATGTTGATAAGGAGATACAACGAAATAATACAACATTTAATCTATTCGTAATCCAGAATGGACCAATTGTCGTAGACAGTCATGCGTTCTGTTTGTTATAAATAACCTACATAATCAATTAAATGCAATTTATCCAGCAATGATCAATGGCCATGTTTAATAACATGTGCCGGGTGCCCTCGAGAATAACTAAACGCTACGTTTATTATAGTTGCTAAGTAATATTTGTGAGCCAACTAATACCTTTTAATAGATTATCCAAGATTTTAATACGTCAATGTTCATAGTTCATTGCAATAACTTCTAGGGCTCTCGCATACCTCCAATATCATCACGATGATATGTTGCTTATAATGAGTTATAAGGGAACAATTTGAATTATGCGATATGTGTTGGTAAACCCAACCATTGAGAGTCGTTCCAGTGACTGGCTTTAGTTTAGTACTTTAAGTATCATTTGCAACATGAGAAGTTTTTAACGCCACAACAAAAGTTTTTAATTTTAAAATCTCGGTTTTAAAATCGAAAAATGCAACAATATAATAAAATGCATGGCAAAATTTACAAAGTAAGAACGGCATGAGCAATGTTTCCGAAATAAGCGCATTTTTGCTGGAACCACCAAATATTTGTGGTTTTTATAGCTGTAGCTGATTAAAGAAAACTGATTTGTTTTTGCAAACAATCATACTTTGATAATTTATCTCGACCATCAAGCTTTATACTGATTTCTTGCTACCAATGAGATTTAAGCAAATTCCAGCAAGGACCTATAAGAATCGTGGATAATCACACCATTAGCTTACAGACAGACTCTCATTTAAATTAAATTTAACTACGTGAAACAGGGTTAAGGACAATATTTACTATAAGCAAATATATCAACATCATCAGAGTCAAGATATTTTGAGGGAGTTTGATAACTTGACAACATTAGACAATTTAATAAAATCATAAATAATCACAACTACAGCTGTCGAAGCACTCTTTCCTAGACATTACGTTTACTTTCATGACGTCCGAACTACTTGACAGTAAACATTACAGACGATACTTTGATAAATTTGGCCGAAAAGCCCGCAGAACCAACCAATTTCGTTTAAAATTTGAATTGCACTTATTATAAGCAAATATTAAATTAATAAGTATCTGAGGGGGGTGCACTACTGTAAAGCCCCGTGCCGATTTACTGCAAAGTTAGGGGATGGAAAAATCTACGGTAAATCGGGGATTTATTTGTTTAAGGGGGGGGGCCAATGGGTATTTTTTTTGTGAAACTTGATTTCGAGATAGCAGTTGACCAACAAACTAGGACCAGTGACCGAACTTTTGAGGGGGTCCCGGACCCCAACCGCCAAACGGTGCGCGCAGGGCAGCCACGCCCATATTTGGTCCAAATTAGGCCCAATTTAGCCAAATACCCTGTACATGCCCCAAACCCAGGTTTATGGTGCTCTACTTGTAGCTAGTGGTCTCCTGAACTCGTATATGAAATTTCATCAAGATTGGACAAAAAATGACTGAGTTATGAGCCAAAAACCATATGCCCATATTTGGGCATACGCACCAAATTTGGTAGATTTCGTCCCATAAATTGGTCAAATATCAATATTTTTGAATGAAACTTACTTTATATGAAAGGTAAGCCTAAACTACATATTCTCTGTAATTTATAGCTTTATATCTGTTTAAATGTGGATACTAAGGCGAAAAAACCACAAAAAATGAACTAAATTGCCCATATCTCGGTTCGCGATATTCGCGGAATTGATCTCACCAAAATTGTAACAACTCAATCAGTTTTCAAAATTTTTGCATGAAATTTTTGGAATCGACTCGAAATCGCATTTCGACCTTATTTTAAGAACGGATTTTTGATTTAGGCCTCAAAAAAAATTTGGCGGCCAAATTCCAAAATTATATTACAGAAATTCAGAATTTGGCCGCCAAATTTTTTTTGAGGCCTAAATCAAAAATCCGTTCTTAAAATAAGGTCGAAATGCGATTTCGAGTCGATTTCAAAAATTTCATGCAAAAATTTTGAAAACTGATTGAGTTGTTACAATTTTGGTGAGATCAATTCCGCGAATATCGCGAACCGAGATATGGGCAATTTAGTTCATTTTTTGTGGTTTTTTCGCCTTAGTATCCACATTTAAACAGATATAAAGCTATAACTTACAGAGAATATGTAGTTTAGGCTTACCTTTCATATAAAGTAAGTCTCATCCAAAAATATTGATATTTGACCAATTTATGGGACGAAATCTACCAAATTTGGTGCGTATGCCCAAATATGGGCATATGGTTTTTGGCTCATAACTCAGTCATTTTTTGTCCAATCTTGATGAAATTTCATATACGAGTTCAGGAGACCACTAGCTACAAGTAGAGCACCATAAACCTGGGTTTGGGCATGTTCAGGGTATTTGGCTAAATTGGGCCTAATTTGGACCAAATATGGGCGTGGCTGCCCTGCGCGCACCGTTTGGCGGTTGGGGTCCGGGACCCCCTCAAAAGTTCGGTCACTGGTCCTAGTTTGTTGGTCAACTACTATCTCGAAATCAAGTTTCACAAAAAATACCCATTGACCCCCCCCCTTAATAATTGTGCTGCACAATTATTGTGTATGTTAAGCTTTGTTTGGGGAAAGGAAATGGATGCGGTAAATCGGGGTTTACTTACTTACTTTTTCAACAGGCTGATAGATTTTATGATTTTATTTGAACCATAAACAATAATCGAATGTATAAAACTCAGGGAACAGGAAGTAGCATAGCAAGGTTATAAATTCGTTAAACCTTCGGCAGCTATCAAATCTATAAACCATTCATTTCATGAATATAAAGGCATATCATGAATAAGGCCTTTGAGTGACCTTTTAAACGATTTTCCTTGCATCTCACGAGTCATCAAGTTATGAGTCTCATATCATGGCGCTAATATTTTATAGCGCTGATATCTATTTTACGTAAATTTGCACGCATATGGAATCGTTATTGTCGGTGTGTTGAGATAGTAATGGATCTTTGTAGCCGACAAGGCTTTGTGTCCGTCAACTAAATACATTTATTGATGTTTGATATTGCTTTATGAGAGTTATGAGAAAACCAAAAGTTCTGTAGAATTGATATTCTATGTCACTTTTATTTGTGAAGTGCTTAGGATTTAAGGCATTTTTATCTAATGTGGATAACAAGTTGCTATGTTGAATACTCAGCTATAACAAACGTATATTAAATAAATCTAGCAGTTAACTATCGAATAATCTGCTAACTGTATTATTTTAAAACCAGTGATAAAGAATAAGCTAACCAACGTTTTGTAAATTGTCCTCATTTAGGACTCCTGAATATTTTTTACCTTTGTATAATATTATAACTGAAAATTAATTATTAGTGCAACTAAGGTAAATTATTCCCACAGAAGTGCAGAGGAATTTGGTCAGATTGGGGCAAGTGGAGAGGGCTGTGCTCTGAGAGCTGCTCTGGTGAGTATAACAGCATGTTCGATATAAAGAAACTGAAAATTAAACTGAAATTAAGCTGAAACTAAATCTGCCCTTAAACCAGAAATAATTCCAAAATTAAAGTTTGTAAATAAATCCACAATTAAAACTGCACCAAAACGTTTTGAGTAAATTGACCCAGACACCTCAGGTCACAGGACTCGTACCAGAGATTGTGTTAATAACGGTTTGTTCTACTGCGGTGATCCCACATGTAGCGGTAAGTTTTTATAATTTAGATTTACTGTCAAAACAGCTAGATTTAGCTAAGTAGTTGTAAAGTTGTTAGAATCGTTTTGCGAGCACTATTTAGACATATAGGGTTCTGGGTTAAGCTGTTTGTTTTGCGACCACCGCATTTAGTAAATATATAGTTTGGCTAAAAGGTTCGTTGAACTGTTGAAGAATGAAGCTACATCACCATGATATCCTATATTTATTTTATAGTTGGGACGCAGACGTATTTAAATTCAATCACAGTGGAGTCAGTTCTTGACAAAAATCCCCCCTCCAATCTATTTAATCAGGATCGTAGAAATTACCTGTCAAGCTATAGTTAAACAGTAAACACCTTGTCATTATACTGTGGACAAATTGTTGCTACCAACCTCAACTTGAATGAGCTCTCCTCGAGGTTTTAGTACTAATAGTTATAAAATATAAAGGTAATTGTGTAAAATCGTGCGACTACCACTTGGACACCTTCTTCAGTAACTTAATTGATTTACCTGCTGTCCAGCAAAGAAGTAGAGGGTCAAATATATAAATTACCACCAAGCATTTGGAGGTCTGTTGAGCAGTGTGTTGGTTACTCCGCCTGGATATTACAAAAAGTAATATTTAGTGTTAGTTACTGAAGTTTACCCCAGATCAAACAATAAAGACAAAACAGGTTGATGAAATTCATTAATCATGACTTTCCGAAATGTATGACACCTTTACTTCGATAACCTGGTGACTCGTAAGTCAGTAGTGCTTTATATCCACGTGCTACTAAGGGAATTACTAGAAAAGTCAGTAGTATTGTCATAATATAATAGTGGGATTTGTTTGAGCAAACAAACAACTATGATGACGAAGTATCTCGCTGTCCTGTCTTTCAAAGAATTTATTGTCGTTGGAATAGTGGGATTACACACAGGATTACACAGGATTTACACAGGATTTACACAGGATTTACACAGGATTTACACAGGATTACACAGGATTACACAGGATTTGAGGATTATACAGGAATACACAAGATTTTACACAAGATTTTACACAAGATTTTACACAGGATTGCACAGGATTTAAACAGGATTACACAAGGTTACACAGGATTACACAGGATTACACAGGATTACACAGGATTACACAGGATTACACAGGATTACACAGGATTACACAGGATTACACAGGATTACACAGGATTACACAGGATTACACAGGATTACACAGGATTACACAGGATTACACAGGATTACACAGGATTACACAGGATTACATAGGATTACACAGGATTACACAGGATTACACAGGATTACACAGGATTACACAGGATTACACAGGATTACACAGGATTACACAGGATTACACAGGATTACACAGGATTACACAGGATTACACAGGATTACACAGGATTACACAGGATTACACAGGATTACACAGGATTACACAGGATTACACAGGATTACACAGGATTACACAGGATTACACAGGATTACACAGGATTACACAGGATTACACAAGATTTTACACAAGATTTTACACAGGATTACACAGGATTACACAGGATTACACAGGATTACACAGGATTACACAGGATTACACAGGATTACACAGGATTACACAGGATTACACAGGATTACACAGGATTACACAGGATTACACAGGATTACACAGGATTACACAGGATTACACAGGATTACACAGGATTACACAGGATTACACAGGATTACACAGGATTACACAGGATTACACAGGATTACACAGGATTACACAGGATTACACAGGATTACACAGGATTACACAGGATTACACAGGATTACACAGGATTACACAGGATTACACAGGATTACACAGGATTACACAGGATTACACAGGATTACACAGGATTACACAGGATTACACAGGATTACACAGGATTACACAGGATTACACAGGATTACACAGGATTACACAGGATTACACAGGATTACACAGGATTACACATGATTACACATGATTACACAGGATTACACAGGATTTTTTCCTTTTCACCCTTTTGAAAAAAGGCAATAGTGAAAGGTTACGAATGGACGTTTTTGCAGAAAAACGTGGATTTTGGAAATAGCGGTAGGTGGGTCAAATATATGTCGTGTTCCTTACTTGCTTCCGTTCGTTTCCATGTCAACTTGCCGCGCGCACGCGCACGGGGATTGCTTGCGGAGATGTGGTGTTTAGCTAGTATGTGGTCAATGAATGCGCGGCACTAGCGTATTTTAATGTATACTAGTAATGTATAGTATTTTGTAATAAGCCCAACTTGAATGTGGCACGCGTAGTCTACTGATGTTTCATTATGATTATTATAAGGTGAGCTGATTAGAGCTTATATTAATAGTTATAATGAAATGGAAATCTAGCGTCCGCCAAAACGAAACAACGGGCGCAATTCTTGTTATGCTCTCCACTCCTTCCATTTCGCTCTGCCTGACCACAAAGTCTTTGGCACAATAGAGTAGTTAAACAATATGATAGTTAAACCTTTGCGTTATTTTCAAAAAGAATTTAAATTTTAAGTTATTCTCGAAAACAATTTTCTTCGATGTAAAAGTACCCTGCCGGAGAGGCACTGCTATTGGCATTATATTACTCCCATGGTCAAACGTTATAAAATTGCAAATAATAAACATACAACATTAAAGTTTCAAAAAAATAGCAACAGCTTAATTGTCAAAGAAATAAAAAGTAAAATACCAATCATCCATGTCTGTGTCCACTGTCTATCCATAAATTGTTCATAAAATAAAAAGCAGACAAAGTTGATGGTACAAGGTGCTTATTATATATACTAGCAGGAACCCGTATAACCCTAAAGTGGTGTCAAGACTCAAGAGACTAAAATAATTATTACCTATTTAATTTGCGTTTTTGATACCACTCAGGGGTCCAAATTTTGGGCACTTAAACTCTTATTCCTTGGCCAAGTTGTATATCTTTTACGGTTTTTGCGGAAAGTCGTGTTAAAGTTGATACCGTGGTGTCAGTAAAACGGTAGTGATATATAAACAGGATTAAACAGGATTAAACATACATTTGTCAATGAGAGCCCTAACACTCACGTCTTGACTATTATACATCAATAGATAAATAAATAAATAATGTGCAAGAATGTTCTTAAAATAATCATTAAAAAAACATAATATATATATCGTCTTGCTTTATATATAGTAAGATAGCAGTCCACAAACTCATTAAGATTAAAGTATAAGTGCAATCTTGCAAGGCTCTTATAGGCGCTGCCAAGCATCTTAAATGTTCTGGTATGACGCCATGATAAACACTCGCCTGATTGGTTATCTTAGATCACGTGATAGTTACTAGCTGTCGCGTGCTTCTTACCTAGCAACCTGATTGGTGACCTGTTTCAGGAGATGACACTCAGCGAGAAAGATGTGGCGGAGATAGAACTAACGGAGGGTGGAGCGAGTGGTCTGTGCCAGAGTGTCGGTATTGCGGACAGAAACGTCTTAGGTATTTGTTTCGCATCAAACTATTTCTTTCCGGTTGCTTTTATCATCCGGGAATTGGGAAAATTTCCATCCGCAATTAAGGAAATAAGCCTATTGAAAGAAAAATATTTTTAATAGTATTAAAAATTAAACCCTTGAAAATCTAAAAATGTGATGCAATGACAATATGATACTGTCCACCGTCCACCATAACCAATTGGCCTCTGCCCTCCAACTTAGTATTGGGAACTATCCACTAAAAGCCCCGCCCCCAGAACGAGAAAATGTGACTCTCCTCGGCCGTCCTGCGGAGGAAGAAAGTGTCGGGGTAAGAAGTGGGAGGTAACACGATGTGGTCAGTCAGGATGTCCCGGTCTAGAGGGAAACCTTATCGTTCAGCAAGATGTGGGTTATGGATTTATTGTGATTATTCCAGAATTGGTTTGCATTATCTCCTAATATATAAGACTAAGCGCGGAAATGAACCGAAGCTTGTATAAGTCTGGTTAACTTCACTACTAATTTCCCACTAGAGTGTAAAACCATTAGGTCATTGATAATTAACTTAAGTCAGTAATAATTAACTTAATTAAGTAATAATTAACTTAAGTAATAATTAACTTAATTAAGTAATAATTAACTTAAGTAGGTAATAATTAAGTAATTAATAATTAACTCATCCCAGGATCACAGCTGTGGAGCTACAATAACAGTGTCATGTCCTCAATGTCATAGACTGGAGGGGTCACCTAAACTGCGGTGTCTCCCTGACGGACTGTGGAACAAGAACTCTCCGCAGTGTGTTCCTCTAGATGGCATACAGGTGGGTGTCTTAAATATAAAGGTGTTCAATAGGAAGGTGTTCAACTACTAGCTTACTAGAGCCAGCAGCCAGCATTTAATTAGGCTGGTTCATATTTTCAAAATGTGATTGGGTTATAACTACTTATCCATGTCTCCTTAGGTTCACTGACCACCAGCATGAATATTTATTGTTTGATCAATCGAATTCATTTTCGGAGAATGATTGTTGTTATCTTTTAGGCACAATGGAGCGCATTTGGACCTTGGGATGACCACTGTAGGGCCTGTAATCAAGTGATAACACGACGGAGAACTTGCCAGTCGGTGTGTGGAGAGGTTTGTAGAGGTGAGTTAGTTCAAACACAAGAAAATATTTTATCCGGCAGAGTTAGTTAGTCGTGCTCTCAACAAGACATTGAATTTGAAAAATAGTAAAAACTTGGCTTGATTCAACTGCATGTGGACAGCTCACTTTGAAAAGTTGTATGCAATTCCACAAATTGCAATTACACAATTCCACGTGTTGCAATTTCACATGTTACCAAAATAGCGAATCAACAAAAACAAATTGAATTAAAAACCACCCAAATGATATGGGACAAAAAATGCAGTGACCAACCGTAACAGAAAACACAGTAACCAACAGTAACCAATACACAGTAACCACAGTAACCACAGTAACCAACCGTAACAGAAAACACCGCGGTTTAAAGCATGATTTGAACAGAAACTTTTAGCACAACTAAAAGGGAGGAGCAAGTAAGTCGAGTAAAGGGAGGAACAGGCTCACTCTCAGTAGACACCGGAGAGCAATCAAACATTTAACACGCTCACTCTAGAAAGCAATCTCATTCACGATCTACCTAATCCAGGCGCCAAATAATGAGTCATCTAATATCAATCTTACTGGTTATAATATAATAACACATAACAACCGAAACATTATCAATATCATTACAACTTGTTGTAGAGTTGTAGATAGAAGTGGAGGGTGATTGTCCTGCAGCTAGAGATGGTGAAGTAGACCAAACACGGCGCGATGTTTATATGATGCCAGTGATTATGAGAATTTGTATAATAATCTGCTATTGCTTTAGCTTGCAATGCTTGTCGCAATCTTTTTAATTATTATATTTGCACTAGCAATACCAGGTTGACACTTTTAATTACGAATATTCGAAATACTGTAAATGTTCCCTCGACCAAAAGATAAGCGTCCGTGAGATTAAAGATGTTGAAGTGCTGGTATGATCGGTATTTGGTAATGCATTTAAAATTAGTACCACCGCATTCTCTAAGTGATATAAATAGTTCAGAAAGTAACGATCACCGTGTCGTACTTTGATTGGTCACACATAACACGTTATTACTGGAGAGCGTCACCTAATTTCTGCTCGAATAAGATCCGGTTAGGTAATATAAATAAGATCATATCACCATCTTTTTATTGATTAGTCAGAAACAAGGTTATAGCTACCTAATAACGACTTGTCAAATACCGGGACAATGGACATGTGTTTCCCACTCCACAGAGATACTGCGCACAGGCTGAACCCTGAGTCATAGCTGGGCAGATTGGCAAAAGTTTAGCAAAAGTATTAAAACGTTTGTCAATAATGAATACTTTATGATTTATGAACATTAGAATTATTTGAGCTCATTTAGATCGTCAATCAAAGAAGTTATTTTAAATTTATCGGCTAAAAGTTCGGTAATTGCTTTCAAAAGTTTGTGGAATTTGGTACCTTTTCAAAGTGCGTTTCCCTCAGCTATGTCCTGAGTAAAATATGAGCATAGTATAACATTTAACGTACTTAATTAACTCCTTAATTCCTTTTATCTTTATTTACTATCATGTGCGAAACAGTGTTGAATGTTGAGTTTACCGGCAAAGTAGTCGGTATAGGTATATATTTACTATTGTCTCCTGTAGGAATCTTAATCGTATGAGTAAGAGTAGTGACAGGATGACTGGCAAAAGTCCAAGATAGATTCTGGAATCTGGTTTAAGATAAACGAACAACATGTGCAATCCCTAACAGTTGTCATCTACGAAATTATCAATTGGAGACACTCCCGAAAATTAACAGATTTAATGGAATCACCGTTACGTGATAAATTACCTATTTATTAACTTGAAGAGCCAGTCTAGCGACAAACCGGAAGTTCGAGATTTATTTATTAAATTATTATTCATTTATTAGATTATCTATCATACAATGGTTTTGGTGTGATGCTAACTGATGCATATCTTGTTTAGATAAATGAACAACACGTGTAATCTCTTAAATGATCATTAAAATCGTCACACCGCTGCCAAGAGGCTGCAGCTGACAACCCAAACTTAAACGATTAAGGCAAGGTCGATAATATGACATGATTTTAAATTCTCACAGCACGTTCAAGTAAAACGGTCAAGGGGAGATTTGCGATCTTGAAGAGCTAGTCCATCGAAAATTTGTCAGTTTATGAATTCTCGCATCTCCTCTCAAAATCATCAGATTCTTGTCAAAAATCACTTAACCTGGTGTCAAGCAGCCCGATTCTTGTCAGCCGAAAGAGCTAAAAAATCAAGTTCTGAGTACCTCCCTCTGTGCTTAATCTAATAAGTTTTGGAACTTGTACAACTTAAACGGTTGCAAATTTGAAAGCAATATTAGAATATCACAGCACGCAGTTTGCTTATACGAGCTCCCAATTCTTAATCAACCAACGAGGCATGTTTAAGCAGTTTTAAGAAGTATATCTACTTCGGGAAAGATAAGCTTAGAGCAGATTAAAAGCCAGACTACTTTGACAGTGATGAGATACTTTTGACAGTTTAATATATAACTCTATTAGGATTTATACTGAATGTTATCGAGCAAAACATGATCGGTTTTGAAGACTCATCAAATTGGAAACGCACAGGGAAATGTCAACTTGACATGGAGACATTGTTTTAATAGAAATGTGCTATGGCTTAATATTAAGAGGCAGTAAAACTAGCTGCGATGAATGATATGAGGGTTTGACAAGTTTGACTTTATATTTATGTCATTGAGAGGAAGTTGCTTAAGTGAGTCATTAAAACTCAAATCTTTCACAACATGAATTTTTGAAAAAAAAACCATGATTGTAAAGTACAATCACTGTGAGGTCAAGCTGTTCAACTTAATAAGGTAAAATTATCGCCAATTTAAAAAATATCCTATCACATGATAGCGATGCAATGATTTTATTGGTTTACTGCAAAAAGTCTGTTGGCATTTTGACATTTTTACAACCGAACTCTCAAACCAATTGTATTAACAAAATATTTTTATAAAATATATTTCAAAATTATAGTATTTTGGATGTCTGATTTGGGGTTAAACAAAAATTGCCATTACCAGTCATTGAAATTAAGTTACTAGATTTTTAGTTGTGACGAATTGGATTCGCAGCCTTCAAAACAATTGATCAAGGACGATTGGAATGCGTACTTCACAACTATGTGGAATATTGAAATGACGCTTTCGTGAGATTGCACGCCTTTCACTGGCATCTGTCAAAATAAATGTCAAGGATGATGGGCCACATGAACATTGACATAAATTAAAATGCTGTTATAAACCCACTGAACCAGTCATGAACCAGACGATCATCAATTTCAATGTCACGCAAACCAGCAAGTAAACCTACAATATGTCCCCATCTTGCCAGTTTAAATGATAACTTCACTTGACACACCCAGTAGGCGACTGATAGGGCGGCACCAACTAATTGGATAAAAGAAATCAGGTGTTCAGATAAAACGAATCGACTCCTTAAATAGAAGAAATCAGTTGTTCGGATAGCGCATATCATCTTTTTGATTAAAAGTTATGATTTGGTATTTCATCAAGCTGGTTAAAGCTTAAAGCTTCAAAGGATCGTGAGATCGTATAATGAATTTCCTTGTTAGAGGGTTGTTCGGATATCGCAAATCATCTTTTTGATTAAAAGTTATGATTTGGTATTTCATCAAGCTGGTTAAAGCTTAAAGCTTCAAAGGATCGTGAGATCGTATAATGAATTTCATAGTTAGAGGGTTTTGTATCGTTCTAACCCCACCCACAGCATCATGGGAACGGTTTTTCCACGTCACAAAACAGAAAAAAATGTGTACTTAAAATATACCTTAAGCAGACATCTCGTAATGAATATAATCAGGAATGATCTGGATCATACTCCCTATAATTGAAACTTGCTCAGAATCACCACAACTAATTACTCACAGATTGTAGATTATGATCTGATGGTTGGGGACGAAGTGAAAGTGGAGATTCTCACTTCGTCCCCGCAACCATCAAATCATATGATCGACCCACTCACAAGAGCGACAACATATTACAATTGTTGTACTAATGGTAATACTCCCAGGGGATGCAGTGGAACAGTATATATGTGGAAGTGCTGGATGTTCGATCAACGCGTTTATTCATCGCAGTACTGATCTAGTTAGCAGCAAAGACGCATTCATGTGCGCTGAAACCGTGAGTTTAACTTTAAGTTAATAAAACAATTATTTCTTAAATAAAAATTATATATTTGTACGCCACACTCAAACAATATCAATAATAAATAAATCAGTGGATCGTTGAGGAGGTTACGTCAAATGAATAAGTAAATCACGAGGAGGCGTTTAAGCAAGAAAAATTATTCGGTTCATATTAATATATTTATTGTTGATCAGTAATATGTATTTATCGGTGATATTTATCGGTTATTACATATTTCTCTGATTGATATCACTTTAATGTCTAAAGTTGCCAGCAGACACTAATGAGAAATGAACAGCTTAACTTCTTGACTGAGAAATCAAAATTATCATTACTTACGTTACGTGACATCATTTCAGAATTTAGCTTTATAACTACATCAAACAATTTAATATTCTTTGTGTGGTAATTATTGGAAGTGTGACAATCTTTGATGACTGAAAATATGATTAATAGTCAAGTGTCTGCTCAAAAAAGCCACCCTTCTCAAAAATTACATATTGTAGTCTGCTATTGCCATCATTTATTGCCGAGCTCCAATATTTTCAAGACTTGCATATGCATAATTTTTTTACATCCTTTAATCGGTTTCCAGGCGACGCTGAGATGCCGATCCCCCGACAAAGTGCTACAAGGAAACGCCCTACTGACATGTGGCCTTGGAGGATGGGAGGGAACTTTACCCAGATGCGTGGACGAGGTAATAACTTTATAAATTTCCCAGTAATTTCGATAAAATTGAGGAAAACAATACGAGGCACATTACGTTTGAATATATTAAAGAGCATGAAAATCTAGATGTATGTTTAAAGAGTTTGAAACCTAACTAAACCAAATCCACCGCTGTCAAGACAAAATTAATTATTGTATCCTTGCACCTTCAGCGCATTTCATTATGTAATTGTCAAGCAATTTAGGCCGGTAATCATAGTCCCCTCGTCTTTTTCGGATTGGTTCGAATATTTAACTTTGTTTCTGGTGTAACACAGAGAAATTAAAATATGTTCTCCCCTTCAATCTAAACACAACATCAGTTATTACTCACCAAGTGGTTCCTGATTGGTTGCCGGGCACACATGGTGGTACCACTTAACCTTCCAGCTTTCTAGCAATGTAAAGTGGTCCCACCATGGCAGCAAAGTGGTTTATACTCACAACAAAGTGGTGTCGGTATTTGCACTTAACTTTCTTATAGCTTTATAGACAAATAAAGCTTGACGCTCTCGATATAATGCTGGCTTGAAGTAAAGAGAGGGAATCAAGGAGCAGAGCGGCAGTTATTTATAGATATATAATAGCTTTGAAAAGAGAACCAATGATAGTTAAGCTTAAATCTTGATCCGATTTGAGTTTTAATCTAAGGTTTGACCATATTGTCAGACTATGATGCCATAAAAAGCTAACCCCTCCACGTATATGACAACGGCGCGAACTGGACACTTTGATTGATATTGGGATGAGGCTGGCATTTGTTTTCGTGGGAGGTCCCTGATTTCATTACCGTGGGGCCAATCAGCTCTCCTGTTGCTGAACTCAGGGATAGTTCAAGGGTAACATTAGAACATGTCTGACGATATTTCGTTCTATAATATATCCCACCACTCACCAGCGTTTCTACTGACTGTGAAGAAAAAGAAACTAGCTTTTATAAAGAAAGAGAAACTAGATTTATAGTAGAATTACGTCTGGGTTAGGAGGTATTTTTATAATTGTAATGTCAATTACAATATGAAGAATCGCAGAAAGTTCTGGATTGTACGACTTCTCCAAATCTGAGTTTATGTCAAGTATCAAGTATTACATCTACTAAGTCCTAGGTTTATAATAGATATCGGCATTTAAAGACTATACACGCTCTGTAATATATTTGATCGAGACACCTTCCAAGAACCCAAAAAATACAAACTGCGGTAGCTTTAACAGTTTGTTAGATATACAGTCAGGTTTTACAAATTGCTGTAAAATTTCAAAGAAAATTGCATAGTTAGTCCTTATATCATAAAATTCGGGGTTACGACCAAGCGATTTATTAAAAGCCTATGATTGGAGATTGAGATCATGTTCGGAAAATGGAAATCATGTTTGGCTGTTAACAATAAATCATTTAAGTTTATTATTTAACTGTTTGACTGAGTGAATTGTAGTGCCAGAACAATAATCAAATTTCATTTCTCAGTGATATCGAGATATTGTAGGGTTAGCGCGTCTAGTAAAGTTGGTGAATGTACTCAGTTGACATATATAATACACTTAACAGCTAATCTTTGCAATTTAAACTACAAATATTGCACATGTTAATTGAGCGAGTAAGTTAATCAAATTCACTTGAACAAATCATTGGCTGCCTGCCAACAAACGCACACAGATAACAACACTTAACTGAGGAAAGAATGAGTCTGCAAATAACGTACTTAACTTAGGTAAGCAATATCCTCTTTGAACTGATGAATGACGAGGATGATTAATGATATTTTCACTCGTTAATAGTCGCAGAAAGTTCTGGATCGTATACGGCTTCTCCAAATCTGAGTTTATTATAATATCAGGATGATGATTAATCACTCTACGCAGCATATCATGACAATCACACGAAAAATACATCGATTCAGTTGGTTTCAACTGTTGGGGGCCCTTCCAGAAAAACCTCGAAGTTGGAGTGCGTAGAGTGATTTAGCACACTTGGGCTTATATTACAAATCCTTATGTCTAGACTTAAGTCTATACATAGAGTAAGACCACGTTGAAAACGATACAGGGGGAACTGGCCACTTCAACTATCATTGAAGTTGACTCACTTTGACTATATAATATATAGCGTCAATCTGTGTAAGAGATTTTTGATCCAGGTAAACTATAGGAAATCGTATGCCGGTGACCATGAGACAGTGAATTAATTTAAACATTTTAATTAATAAGGACGGTGAAGACAACACATTGTCGGTCAATACATTATTCAAGCTGTCAAGCCGTACCTGCCACATGCATCGGGGTTGTAAAGCAACTTATTCGACAGAATTTTTAATCAACCGGTGAAAAAACATCTCCGTACTGACACACAAAAGTATGGTACGAAATTTATTTGAACGGACATTAAAATGGACGCTAGAGCATCTAGCGTCTAGTTAATATTTAATGTCCGCCCAAATATAAAGTCCGATAAGGTACTTAGGTAGCCATATTTTGCTTTATGTTTAGGAACCTTGTCCTGCTGGGTGTAGCTGGTAAATGTTGCTGTACAACTTTTCATTTTAATTTTAGTCTTACTTTACACTTACAGACGAAACCAGTTCAATTCGTAGCATCTTTTATTCAATTGGAATACTTTTGGATTAGTGCACAATTTACTCAAACTTTTCCTGCAAGCTCTTGACAGTACTTCATAAAAATGTCCATGCAGCAATTAATCAATTTGCCGGGAGTGAATCACGGTCTATCTTATTGATCCCTTTTCTGTCAAATATACGGACTGCCAGCACTATTGACCAACGGAACGTTTCCTCAGAATAATTAAGTTCTGGTGCAGTTCCGTGATTTGATTGAGTATATTTAATTGACTTTAATTGGCTGATTAAACTGCAGACAGTTCCTTGCTTGTTCTGTCTAATTCGTTCTGACTACCGCCGTGAGCAAAAACCCTCACGGACAAATTTACTACAGTATACCACGTTTTTTCAGGCGAGTAACGCTAAAAATGGGTATACTGTCGGGAACATGGCTAACACTTCCTCTCCAAGCAGTCACGTGACTTCTTTGTTAACTTTAACTGGCTTGTCATTGGTTTCAACGTGAAAGCAACTGCCAAAACTGGTGGTCGTTAAGAATTATTTAGTCGAGCTTGTCTTATAAACGTTACAAATTGAATATTGTGCTTTTCTAGCGGAGCTTTAGTGATGTGGCAGTTTTGTTTACATGTTGTTGTTAGTGTTGTTTTATCTGAAAACGCTCAATTCGGGCATAGGAATGGGCCCAATAGTACCATTCAGTTATATCAATATGATGGTCAGGAGAGTGGGCCCAATAAAACCTCTCTTACGGATGGTGGTGAAACCCTTATAAAAATTGCTAAGGTGGGTTTTGAAAAGGGACGAAGAAAATTAATTGTCCGAACCACCACCGTAAGAAATAATCATTCCTAAATAAATCTTATTACTTAGGCAGCAGTTCTACGAACACATTTTCAGCAAGTTTCCATAAACGATATTTTATTATTGGCGCCAATAATCGCTTATTGGGCGCTTTCTCGGCGCTTTTTTTTTAAAAACCGTTTACAATCGATTTTTTTACGATTATAAACGGTTCAAAAAAATCGCTTATAATCGACTATAATTATTGATGTCATAATTCAAAAAAGCGCTTTTTTGAATTATGACATCAATTATAGTCGATTATAAGCGATTTTTTTTGAACCGTTTATAATCGTAAAAAAATCGATTGTAAACGGGTTTTTTTTTAAAAAGCGCCGAGAAAGCGCCCAATAAGCGATTATTGGCGCCGATAATAAAATATCGTTTATGGAAACTTGCCACATTTTCTATGAATTTAATCTTGGATATATATTTAAACGTATAATTTTATGGTATAAGGATTTGTATGAATTTATTCTCAACCCCGCCATTATCAGGCCTAAGCGGAAGACAAATACCGGATCGTTTAAATATTTCAAGAATCCTCTCAAGAGTTTCGTCACCATATAGCTATATAGCACCTGCGAGAAAATCTCAAGCAGGAGACTCAGACAAATACGCAATCTTAAAATCTTAGACAAGCGACAAACTCAATTCCGGAAGTCACAAATCTATCAAAAACGCTGCTGATAACTATTAACTAATGATAAAACAGACGCTCAAACGATTGTTTGCCGTTTCCTTCAGTTACTGTCATGACCACAGTGGCGTAACGAAAGGCCCTGCTGACCCCGCTGTGCAGGGGGGGCGCCGTCTTAGGGGGGGCGCCAAATCGTCGTTTGAATGTGGGACAATTTCGAAAACTTAACTAAAGTAGTAGCAAAACTGCGCGTTTTGCTCTAGATACACACTTTTTTAGAGATTTTACCTTTAAAATCACCTAATTTGTTCAATTTAAGGGAGGGGCACCAAAAGGGGAGGGGGCGCCAACAGGGGGGCGCTTTTTTTCGGCAGGGGGGCGCCAACAGGCAACGTTACGCCACTGCATGACCACAGCATTTATACTCTTGTACTCCACTAAGCTGCTTTAGCGGTTACGTAATGCTAGTTTTTGTCTTGTAAAATATCAAATATGTCATGAATTCTAGTGAATTTAGGGGTTTAAGTGTTACTGTTAAAGACTTCCTAAGTTATTAGGTTATTCAATATTTGATCTTGTCTCGACAATTAAAATTGAATCAACCAGACTTGCTCTAGCTATAGTTATACCGCGTATGTTATTGGTATTACGTGGTGACGTAGGGATATCAGAGTTGGGGAATGGGGGGGGGGGGGGGGGGGGTCAATTGTCAAATGGGCGTTAAGCAACTAAATCTTGAGTTATGATGAAAATAATCGTGTTTGCCGTCCTTCTTAGCAAGTTGAAGTACGGCTATATTTCAACTAAATAAGTAAATAATGTAAATAATGGTATATCATATCAGGAATATTTATTTTTCGATTTAAACCAGAAAATCAAGCCCATTTTGTTCATTTATTCCTCAAATGCTGGTTGCTCGAATGAAATCGAATATCGATCGGGTTTCCCCCCCCCCCCGGCCCCCGGCCCCCCGGCCCCACGGCCCCCGGCCCCCGCCCCCCCCCCCCCCCGTGATGCAGTATTCGCCCGTGTTATAAATACAAGAAATAAATTGCCGACATTATGTAACCCTTTTCGGAGGCTTTTCGTGTAAAGTTACGTAACCTGTCACCTAACATGTCACATGTTACCTACAGTAACCTAGGTAACCTAACATGTCACATGTTACCTACAGTAACCTAGGTAACCTAACATGTCACATGTTACCTACAGTAACCTAGGTAACCTAACATGTCACATGTTACCTACAGTAACCTAGGTAACCTAACATGTCACATGTTACCTACAGTAACCTAGGTAACCTAACATGTCACATGTTACCTACAGTAACCTAGGTAACCTAACATGTCACATGTTACCTACAGTAACCTAGGTAACCTAACATGTCACATGTTACCTACAGTAACCTAGGTAACCTAACATGTCACATGTTACCTACAGTAACCTAGGTAACGTAACATGTCACATGTTACCTACAGTAACCTAGGTAACGTAACATGTCACATGTTACCTACACTCTACAGTAACCTAGGTAACGTAACATTTCACATGTTACCTACAGTAACCTAGGTAACGTAACATGTCAATTGTCACGTGTTAGTTGTTACCCACAATGTTGACATTGGTAGGAGATCCTAAAGTGACATTGTTTCAGAGTTGCTCTCCGATACCGCACTTTGATAATGGGAGGGTCATGTCAACTGGCCTGACTTACGGCAAGTTTACTCACTTTATGTGCAACGATGGCTACGAACTCCAAGGTGAGCCATTGCAAAGATTTTAAGCGTGTTTTCAAACATTTTAATTTCAAATTTCTGGCTGTTTCTTTTTTTCATTTTTGATTAAAAGAGTGCGTTTTTATGATCAATTGAGTTAAAGCCTCGTTTTAACATTAATCTTGTAAAGAGAGCAGAACGAAATGAATAATCGCTGATTATTAATCATTATTTAATGATAATGTTTTACCTCCTATTGTAAATATTCTACTTCTTATGTGAACATATATTGACAATTCTCTGGCTTAAGGAAATTAAATTACATTCCGAAACAGCTTGAATGTAAGAAACTGATTACTAAAACACTTTTTTTACAGGTCAGCAGTATTTAGTGTGTCTGGGAACTGACTGGAGTTACAGCTTCCCAACTTGTGTCAAAAAGGTTTTTGCTAAATTACCTCTAAAGGACCTCTAAATGACCTCTAAATATATCGAACCCTCACCACGCATAATTAAAACTCACGTTTGATCCCACACTTGCCAAGTATTTTATAAATATGTCGAGACTATGACCGTGGGTGTCTTGTACCCCGGCCAGTCGGAGGGGAGCTGACTAACTTTATAATTTTGACAGCTTTAAAGCAAAGTTAATCGTCTTAACTTTACGGGGATCATTTCTAAACGTAGACGAATTTCATTTACAGTACTTTGAGTAAAATATTTTGATTTTATTATTAAATTGACTAGACGAGTGTCCTCACAGAAAATAATATGTAAAACTTTGTGATCCTCAAAACTCAACTTGGTTTCAATTTCAGGTGGATCAGTGCGTTGAATTACAGTTAACAGAACATCATATCAAGAACTCAAGTTCTGTAGATATTGGGGCTGCTATTGAAATATCCTGCGTCAAAGGTATATTTTACAAACAAAATTAATCTCTTCATTGTAAAATTTAACTTATTTTAAATATGTATTTTAAATCCCACCAGAACTTTTTTAGTACCAATAAAGCGTCAATCTTTTCAGAAGTTTAGTTTTACCCTTTAAAACTCTTTCCATTTTTACATACCAATATGGCACAATGCCACAAGATCAGGTAGACCTTAGCAGGCCCTTAGCCCGTAAGTACCTTAAGTATACGGTACTTGGAGGAGGAAGGGGTTGTCTGTCACAGAGCGGGTCTCTTGCTCGGAACTAATCGTGTCAAACTCAATCAGTTGAGAAATATCGTCCGTCTAATTCTACTGAGTAGCAAGAAAAGTCACGCGTAATTAACGGGGGTTATGTGAGGGGGCTAGCCTCGATATTAACAAAAACATATCAGCTGGCTTACAAAAAACTAACTATAACACTTATAGTCCTCAATTACAGAATCAGAATCACATAAGCCATAACCAGACCTAACGTAAACTACACACATACCACACATACCACATATACCACACATACCACACACATACCACACACATACCACACACATACCACACATACCACACATACCACACATACCACACATACCACACATACCACACATACCACACATACCAAACATACCACACATACCACACATACCACACATACCACACATACCACACACACCACACACATACCACACATACCACACATACCACACATACCACACATACCACACACACCACACATACCACACATACCACACATACCACACATACCACACATACCACACATACCACACATACCATATATACCACACATACCACACATGACTATAGACCTAACAGAATATACTTGCAGGTTACGAGACTGTAGGAGTATCAGATCTGTTCTGTCTTGACGGAGGGTTGTGGAGCTCTGACATCCCTGACTGTGACAAGATCACGTGTATCACTCTCCCCGAAATGGAGCACGCTCTAGTCACCCACTCGTGAGTTACTCTTTATTACCTCTCTTATTATATAGACTATTTATATACAGTTATATATACTACTATTATATATACAACTATAATTATAGTGACAAAGTGGGAAGGGTACAGACCTGAAATGACATCGTTCACTTGGCAGCCATTTGATCGCGCCACATATACAGTTATCATGGTAGGAAGTTGACATGAACTGGTTGTGACATGTGACAGTGATTCAATGCTAAGATTCACTGTCTCACTGCTACAACCTGATTGGTTCTATCGCGTTTTAGATACAAATTGAAAGTGTGTTCTCTCTTGATATTCAGACAGTTTGCGAGTGCAGGGTGGTTAAGATTGAAGTTCAGACAGCAGACTTTCTGTTCAATGATTGAACAGAAAGTCTGCTGTCTGAACCTTGGGTTTACACTCCTTATATGGGCATCACGTGGCTCACTGTCTGAACTTTGAATGCTTTGCAGTCTGTGAGTTAAATAGTGATTTAAATAGGCTGAGAAGGGGGTGCGATATATTTAGTGGACAACAAATCCGTCCACTGAAGACAGTTGAAATACTTTGTAAGTAACACGTGTGGGATTTAGTGACGTAATACATGACGTCATACGCTTCATGACGTCATCGCCGATATATTTAGTGGACAACAAATCCGTCCACTGAAGACAGTTGAAATATTTTGTAAGTAATCAAGGTAGTGGGAGGTAGTGACGTAATACATGACGTCATACGCTTCATGACGTCATCGCCGATATATTTAGTGGTCCACTGAAGACAGTTGAAATACTTTGTAAGTAATCAAGGTAGTGGGAGGTAGTCATAAGCTTAGTCCACCCTCATGTTTAATTTATAATAACCACCGCCTAATGAACACTATCTCCACAGAGAATCAGGTAACCGAGTAGAGGTATCATGTGAGAAGGGGTACCAACTGTCTGGAGCAGCGGTGTTGGAATGTACAGAGAGTGGAGAATGGAGCAGTGGAATTCCATCCTGTCAACCTAATATCTGCCAGGTAACCTTTCACTTTACTTTTTTCAAAATGTGAATGGAAAATTTCCTGTTATGTCTCCAAAAGGCACTTAATTTCGAGTAGATGATTATTCAGATATAAACTTTAACTGATAAAAGGTTATTTGTTTTAGTTACCAAGTACAAATAACGGATTGTGGTATCGGGTAGCTGACAGACATATCGCTTTATTGCGATGCGATCGAGGTAAGTTCTAATACTTATATTTATTACGTGGCAATCTTTAATTTAATATCTACCAGCATAGTTTAGGTCGAGCATTATTTTCTAATTTTGTTAAAAATGGAATAATTCCTGGCTGATAAAAGTAAATACAATTAATTCCAATTTATTTGTTTTCTGTACTGTAACTACAACACATTCTATTACAGGTTACTCAGTAGAGGGTGACTCAGAGCTGCTCTGTGGTGAGGACAATAACTGGACAAGTGCCAACATTGGTCGGTGTGTGCTAAGACAGTGTGCTGTGCTGGGAGCTGTGGATGATGGAGTTCTGTCCACTAACGAGACTGCTGCTGGAACTGTTGTGGAAATAACTTGTAATGAGGGGTCAGTTGTTTTTATAATTACTTTGAATGAGGGCTAGTTCTTTTTTATAATAACTTGTAATGAGGGGTTTGTTCTTTTTATCGCGAAAAAATCGTGGGCGCAATTTTTATGGTTTGAAATGATGATTATTCAATGTAAAACTCAATCTAACAAAATCTCAACTTTCCAGATACGCGAGATCAGGGCACTGGAAACTGACGTGTTTAAGTAACGGAGGTTGGGACTACCCTGCACCTGACTGTAGAGTAACAGAGTGTCAGACTCTACCGGGGATTGAGAACGGATACGTGTCCTCTCAAAGGTAAGAAAACATCCTCTTCCTTTTCAGATTCATTGCAATCTTTAACTCCTTCTCTCATACTTCTTACATATATTATAATAGCAGCAAATGAACATTATGTTGTGAATTTCGAGACGGATATATTTCCTCTCGACAGTAAGAAAACGACTTTTATAGCACTTCATCCTTATCCTATTCCTTTCACGTCTACCAGCAAATGAATTATGAATATAATGTTTTAAATTCTGAGACTTTTGTCTAAGAAAATAGACCCTTGGTGGTCTCATTTGTCAATTATAATCATTGGTAAAAACTAAACTCATTAGCCTTTATCACTAGTCTTATTAGGCAACTCGTTAGCTTGCCACAAGATACTGCATAATGCAGCACTTTTAATTTGTAACTTTGTAACGGTTCGATATTTCACGGACCGAGGAGTTTTGTGTTTCTAAAAATATCTCACTAGCAGACCAATCATTATGCCCAAAACCTGTTACAACGATTGTATTATAAATCAAATTAAGAATCAAGTTAAGAAGTTATCAATACATTTCTTTAAAGGAGAATCGCCCAACATTTCAAGCATGTTCTCGTATGTTCTTAACTTTAAGGAACAAATTTTTCAAATTTTTACAAGCTCAAAGAATTAAAAACAGTCGAGTGACGTGAAGTTGTAAAGTAGTTTATTTTAAAAAGCCGCCTTTTACATCATAAAACCTATCATGATTTGTAAGAGCTGCTTAGAGGGATCTTTCAAGTTTTCAGTTTTATTCTTCAAGGCAACATTTTTTTGATGCTCAAAGAAAACTGCGAAGCAAATTAATCGCTTTTATTATAAACCCCGCCTTTTCAGGTTTGTTCAAGGTTCAGTGGTAGAGATAATCTGTGAACCGGGCTACAGGCTCATCGGGCAAAGATCACTGAAATGTCTTAAATCAGGTTAACATGTGCTGCATACCTCAACGTCAAACTTTTCATATTTTCCTGTCAAATCAGTTATTGTGTATCATGAACCCAAGAAATATGAAATCAGGCTAGGATTTCAAACATCGTTAACACGTCATTCACTGCAGTTATAGTTATTATATTATGCACTTTCAACAGTTTTGTTGCGAAGGAGTACAAAGTTTGATAAATTTCTAAACAAGATTTAACAAGGAAAACGATGTGGTTAACTTCATATTAATATGTAGAATGGTCCTCACATCGCCTCCCTACCTTTGTCCTCACACATAGTCTCCCCTAAGGTGACTGGTCAGCAGAGATGCCACGTTGTGACCTGTTCGGCTGTGTAACTACAGACGCGGTACAGAACGGCTCCATCGCCTCGGATATTATTCCTCTCAACCGGGACTCGTGGATTGTGTGTCAGGAGGGATTCCAGCTTGAAGGTGGGTAAAATGTTTGTCTCTAGTCTTCTCTGAAGATAGGACAAAATATGTTAGGATTGGATGATTCATATAATGATGTCGAATTATAATTCAGGTTTCATGACTGGTTGTATTTAATTAGTATAAGCTAAGAATTACAGAACATGCTGTGTTTTTTATCTGATTCTGTTCAACCCAACATACAATAATAGCAACAAACCGTTCATCACTTGCTGATACCCAGGTGAGGAAGCAGTCACCTGTACAGAGGGCGGGATCCTCCAGATATCACCTCTCAGCAGGTGTATACCCCAATCCTGTGATCTCTTCTCTGCACCTAACGGAGACGTGATCATTGAAGACGTCATTTTGGGGAGCCGGGCTCAAGTCACGTGTCACTATGGTTACCGGAGATCGGGTCTGGAATCGGTCACGTGTCAGAGTAATGGGGAGTGGAGTGGACTGCTTGGTTGTGAGAAAATACTCTGTCCTCAGTTCCCTGTACTGTATAAAGGTTCGCACAGTTGTTATTTCTTGATATTTAATACAAGAATATCACAACTATATATACGTTTATTGTTTACTTTTATTATATCACGGCCGTTTTAATTACGCCCCAAGTGTGCCCAAGTAACTTTTTGCACCAACTGTGCCACAATTAAGTGTGCCGCAAGTGTGCCTAACTAGATTACTAAATTCCCTAAATTTGAAAGCTTGGTTTCCCAGGCCTGGTTTATTGGGTTATCAGGAGCGTGGTAAAGTTTTCATAGTTTACGATTACCATTTTTTGATGAACTTAGGTCAAAAATAATTAATCATGCACATGTCGTTCAGTTGACTAAAATCAACCAGTAATCCCCGCAGGGTATATCGAAGGATCCGGGCACAGCGTTGGAGATTCAGCGAGTCTGATCTGTGAGATTGGGTTCGTTCCAAGTGATGCAGACCACATCACGTGTACTGAGGAAGGTAGATGGAGCAATGTTGATAGGCTGGGGTGCGTGGATAATGGGTGCCCTTCTCTGCAGAGGCCTCATCATGGCATGTTTATCAGCGTGCCTGGGCCTGCTATCAGTCTGTTCTGTAATGATGGTACGTGTTATAATGAACCACTGAATTCTGCTTCCACACTAACAATGTACCACTGAATTCTGCTTCCACACCATACTTTAAGCCTTTACCCACGAATACATAATACAGTATGCACCAAACCACACAATAGTTTAATACATTTATTTTGTCCAGGATACAAAGTGATGGGCAGCAAGATACTGTCATGTAGTGACGGAAGGTGGAACAGCACGATACCCATCTGTGGTCTGGATGTTCAGTGTCCTAAACTAATTGTACCGTTCGCTGGTACCCTCAGCTCTAATTCTACTGAGTACGGCACTCAGGTTTGTGATATTTGAATTGTAAACAGTGTTGCAACAATCTTGTGATCTAGAATATAACGTTTTATTATATTTATCAGATATTCGTTACATGTAAATGGTTTTGGTAACGAATAAGTGAATGTTTTTATCTGAAATATGTTCTACCAGAACCACGTCTAATATAATAACACGAATAATGCTTTATATGCTGAAAGATTAAATCAGTGCCGCAAAACTTAACATCTCATGGCTGAAGTCAAAGATTAGATCGAACTTTGATGGTTTATAACATTAAAATGCTGTCCAGATCCTTCTAAGCTTCTAGAAGTATGACTCCTATGTTTCCGAGGTAACAGTTGAATACACTATAAAAGCCCCCTCCCGGGTTGCAACATTGCCATGTTACGCAAATAATTGCCGCGCTAACGAAATATTTGCCATCTTAGCAAAATATGCGCTGTGTTATGATGTATTTGCCAGGCTGCGCGTGATGATGCAAATATTTCATAAGGAGGCAAATTTTACGTTAGGAAAATGCGCATTCTTAGCAAAATATTTTATTTGCCAAACGGTCTGACGCGCGTTGCACGCTTTTTTAGTTTGTTTACGCGAGAATGAAATCTTCGCATTGTTAGCAAAATATTCGCCTCCTTATCATTTATTTGCGCGAGAGTTAAATCTACGCTTTCTTAGCAAAATATTCGCCACCTTATAATTTATTTGCGCGAGAGTTAAATCTACGCTTTCTTAGCAAAATATTCGCCACCTTATAATTTATTTGCGGGAGAGTTAAATCTACGCTTTCTTAGCATAATATTTGCCGCCTTATAATTTATTTGCGGGAGAGTTAAGTCTACGCTTTCTTAACAAAATATTTGCCGCCTTATGTTTTACAAATTATACATGTCCTTATAGTTATACTTATGTTTAAACTACTCATGTTAACATATTGATTTAATATTTGTTGAACTGGAAGGCACGGTAATTGAACTTTAGCTCTTTATACACTGAAGTACACCAAGAAGCTACCTATCAATCTTTAAGTTCAAAGTTGTTATAGTGTTAGCAGTTAAAACTTTGAACTTCATCCCGTTTCAAATTTCAAACTTCAATACGAATTATTGCACTTATGCGCCGGACGCCGGTTATATTTATAATGAGGTCCAGAACACACGCTTAAAGTTAATATGTGTTTATTTACCAATTGAACTTTAGTTGATGTTAATTATAACTGTGTACGATTATAACGGTAACAGCTTCGATGTTTTTACAAAACAGCATATTCCTAACTTAAGTGCGGTACCTATGACCTAGACTTTACTCCGCTAGAAACAATAAAATTCAAAGAATTGGACACTAGGGAAGCTAACTAGCGAACTTTAGTGTTCGAAATAGAACTTAGAGTTTCAGTACGTCCGTATCGCGCGTTTCAAACCACAGCACGTGAATCAATAGGTAATGCCGGATATAATGAGCTGGCACACACGTTGAATAATGTATGATTATATTCATTTACCCATTGTAGTATGTTCTCATGCACTAACAACTAAGTGCTGTGCATCGTGCGAACGACAACTTCGAAGTCTTTGCACTTGCAGAACCTGAACATTACCGGAACTAAAGTTGACCAGAACTAAAGTCAACTACTGAACACGCACTGAAGTCCACCAGGGGAATATATTGAAATATCTAATCTGACAAACTAAAGTCGTCCGATGAAGTCATTGTGCGCTTCAGCTACCACAATTTATTATTATCACCTGGCCTCACATATTGGAATTATGCTAAAAACTAGTATAAAGTGAAAGCGATCATGATGTGTAGGTACGACACCGACTTTACGTTTAATTTTAACACAATACATTGATCAATCAATATGATTGCAACCAGGTACCGATCACATATTATATTATTAAGAGGTAGTAAGATTTAAATATTGACACAATTATATAACATCACAACATGGTGAAAATATGTCTATTTTGTTAAAGAACAATTATCAGTATTACTCCTTGTGAATTAAGTTATGTTCATAAAATAGCTAATTCATCTATGGGTATGATGTTCCAGTAACATCATATCCTAATTGAGTTACGTTTCTTTACAAACTTAAAACTTCGTGATATTTCAATCGATTTTACTCGAATTCTTTAAAAAATATTTGCCAAACGGTCTGACGCGCGTTGCACGCTTTTTTAGTTTGTTTACGCGAGAATGAAATCTTCGCATTGTTAGCAAAATATTCGCCTCCTTATAATTTATTTGCGCGAGAGTTAAATCTACGCTTTCTTAGCAAAATATTCGCCTCCTTATGATTTATTTGCGCGAGGATTGAATACGCGCGTTTTTAAGTTCTTAGCAAAATATTTATTTGAACGAAAGCTCAAAATTTACCGAGAAATCGACCTTTTTATTAACTCATTTTGATGACTGTTTCTGATCAGAAATTGCACGAAAAATCGATTTAACTAGGTTTCAGAACCTATAAACAATTCCTTATCCCTCAAAATTGATTTTTTATAGTTAATACGAGCAACAAGCAACATATATTTTGATCCTATGGTTCTACTCATGATATGACCTAGGGAGTTAAGCTGAAACCGAAAGATCGAGGCAATCGAACAGGTACTAACACAATTTTCAGATAGAAATGTTCGTTGCAATATGTTCGTTGCAATAGCTTTGCAACTTGAGCGAAGTAAAGAGCAAAGTACGAAAAAACACAGCAGGCAAGCAACTCATTTGGTGACTATTCCTCATTTAACTGCTAACGTTGCACGAGAAATCGATTTTAGTTGGTTTTACAGCCCAATAACGCTTTTACGCTTCCTTAGAGACCAGATAGAGAGAGTCAGGACCAGAGAGATAGTCAGGACCAGAGAGAGTCAGGACCAGATGGAGTCAGGACCAGAGCGAGGCCCAAAATCATAGAGAGGCAGGACCAGAGAGAGAGAGTCATGACCAGAGAGAGAGAGTCAGGACCAGAGAGAGAGAGTCAAGACCAGAGAGAGAGTCAGGACCAGAGCAAGTCTGAAACACAGAGAGATTCAGGACCAGAAAGAGAGAGTCAGGACCAGAGAGAGAGAGTCAGGACCAGAGCAAGTCTGAAACACAGAGAGATTCAGGACCAGAAAGAGAGAGTCAGGACCAGAGATAGTCAGGACCAGAGAGAGTCAGGACCAGATGGAGTCAGGACCAGAGCGAGGCCCAAAATCATAGAGAGGCAGGACCAGAGAGAGAGAGTCATGACCAGAGAGAGAGAGTCAGGACCAGAGAGAGAGTCAAGACCAGAGAGAGAGTCAGGACCAGAGCAAGTCTGAAACACAGAGAGATTCAGGACCAGAAAGAGAGAGTCAGGACCAGAGAGAGTCAGGACCAGAGAGAGTCAGGACCAGAGACAGCCAAGACAAGATACACTCAGGACCAGAGACAGTCAGAACCAGAGAGAGAGAGTTAGGACCAAAGAGAGTCAGGACCAGAGAGAGAGTCAGGACCAGAGAGAGTCGGGACCAGAGAGAGTCAGGACCAGAGCGTGGCCCAAAATCATAGAGAGGCAGGACCAGAGAGAGAGAGAGTCAGGACCAGAGAGCGAGTCAAGACCAGAGAGAGAGAGTCAGGACCAGATCAAGTCTGAAACCCAGAGAGAGTCAGGACCAGAGAGAGAGAGAGTCAGGACCAGAAAGAGTCAGGACCAGAGACAGTCAGGACAAGAGATAGTCAGGACCAGAGAGAGTCAGGACCAGAGAGAGTCAGGACCAGAGCGAGGTCCAAAATCATAGAGAGGCAGGACCAGAGAGAGAGTCATGACCAGAGAGAGAGAGTCAGGACCAGAGAGATAGTCAAGACCAGAGAGAGAGACAGGACCAGGGCAAGTCTGAAACACAGAGAGATTCAGGACCAGAGAGAGAGAGAGTCAGGACCAGAGAGAGTCAGGACCAGAGACAGCCAAGACAAGATACACTCAGGACCAGAGACAGTCAGAACCAGAGAGAGAGAGTTAGGACCAAAGAGAGTCAGGACCAGAGAGAGAGAGTCAGGACCAGAGAGAGTCGGGACCAGAGAGAGTCAGGACCAGAGCGTGGCCCAAAATCATAGAGAGGCAGGACCAGAGAGAGAGAGTCAGGACCAGAGAGCGAGTCAAGACCAGAGAGAGAGAGTCAGGACCAGATCAAGTCTGAAACCCAGAGAGAGTCAGGACCAGAGTGAGAGAGAGTCAGGACCGGAAAGAGTCAGGACCAGAGCGAGGTCCAAAATCATAGAGAGGCAGGACCAGAGAGAGAGTCATGACCAGAGAGAGTCAGGACCAGAGAGAGAGTCAAGACCAGAGAGAGAGACAGGACCAGAGCAAGTCTGAAACACAGAGAGATTCAGGACCAGAGAGAGAGAGTCAGGACCAGAGAGAGTCAGGACCAGAGAGAGTCAGGACCAGAGACAGCCAAGACAAGATACACTCAGGACCAGAGACAGTCAGAACCAGAGAGAGAGAGTTAGGACCAAAGAGAGTCAGGACCAGAGAGAGAGAGTCAGGACCAGAGAGAGTCGGGACCAGAGAGAGTCAGGACCAGAGCGAGGCCCAAAATCATAGAGAGGCAGGACCAGAGAGAGAGAGTCAGGACCAGAGAGAGAGAGAGAGTCAGGACCAGAGAGAGTCAGGACCAGAGAGAGAGTCAGGACCAGAGAGAGAGTCAGGACCAGAGAGAGAGTCAGGACCAGAGAGAGAGTAAGGACCAGAGAGAGTCCCAACCAGAAAGAGACTCAGGACTAGAGCGAGGCACACAACCAGAGAGAGTCAGGACCAGAGAGAGAGTCAGGACTAGAGAGAGTTAGAACCAGAGCGAGGCCCAAAACCATAGAGAGGCAGTACCAGAGAAAGGGAGTCAGGACCAAAGAGAGTCAGGACCAGAGAGAGTCAGGACCAGAGAGAGGCAGGACCAGAGCGAGGCCCAAAATCATACAGAGGTAGGACCAGAGAGAGAGAGAGAGAGTCAGAACCAGAGAGAGAGTCAGGATAAGAGAGAGAGTCAGGACCAGAGAGAGAGAGAGTCAGGACCAGAGAGAGAGTCAGGTCCAGAGAGAGAGTCAGGGTCAAAGAGAGAGTGAGGATCAGAGAGAGAAAGTCAGGACCAGAGAGCATTAGGACTAGAGCGAGGTTGTTTGTTTGAGTAAGATAATAATTTTCAGGAATAAGGAAGCGTAAAAGCGTTATTTGGCTATAAAACCAACTAAAACCGATTTCTTCTGCAACGTTAGCAGTTGAATGTCAATGAGGAATAGTCACCAAAATGAGTTGCTTACCTGCTGTGTTTTTTCGTACTTTGCTCTTTACTTCGCTCAAGTTGCAAAACTATTGCAATAAACATATTGCAACGAACATTTCTATCTGAAAATTGTGTTAGTACCTGTTCGATTGCCTCGATCTTTCGGTTTCAGCTTAACTCCCTAGGTCATATCATGAGTAGAACCATAGGATCAAAATATATGTTGCTTGTTGCTCGTATTAACTATAAAAAATCAATTTTGAGGGATAAGGAATTGTTTATAGGTTCTGAAACCTAGTTAAATCGATTTTTCGTGCAATTTCTGATCAGAAACAGTCATCAAAATGAGTTAATAAAAAGTTCGATTTCTCGGTAAATTTTGAGCTTTCGTTCAAATAAATATTTTGCTAAGAACTTAAAAACGCGCGTATTCAATCCTCGCGCAAATAAATCATAAGGAGGCGAATATTTTGCTAAGAAAGCGTAGATTTAACTCTCGCGCAAATAAATTATAAGGAGGCGAATATTTTGCTAACAATGCGAAGATTTCATTCTCGCGTAAACAAACTAAAAAAAGCGTGCAACGCGCGTCAGACCGTTTGGCAAATATTTTTTAAAGAATTCGAGTAAAATCGATTGAAATATCACGAAGTTTTAAGTTTGTAAAGAAACGTAACTCAATTAGGATATGATGTTACTGGATCATCATATCCATAGATGAATTAGCTATTTTATGAACATAACTTAATTCACAAGGAGTAATACTAATAATTGTTCTTTAACAAAATAGACATATTTTCACCATGTTGTGATGTTATATAATTGTGTCAATATTTAAATCTTACTACCTCTTAATAATATAATATGTGATCGGTACCTGGTTGCAATCATATTGATTGATCAATGTATTGTGTTAAAATTAAACGTAAAGTCGGTGTCGTACCTAATACCTACACATCATGATCGCTTTCACTTTTTACTAGTTTTTAGCATAATTCCAATATGTGAGGCCAGGTGATAATAATAAATTGTGGTAGCTGAAGCGCACAATGACTTCATCGGACGACTTTAGTTCGTCAGATTAGATATTTCAATATATTCCCCTGGTGGACTTCAGTGCGTGTTCAGTAGTTGACTTTAGTTCTGGTCAACTTTAGTTCCGGTAATGTTCAGGTTCTGCAAGTGCAAAGACTTCGAAGTTGTCGTTCGCACGATGCACAGCACTTAGTTGTTAGTGCATGAGAACATACTACAATGGGTAAATGAATATAATCATACATTATTCAACGTGTGTGCCAGCTCATTATATCCGACATTACCTATTGATTCACGTGCTGTGGTTTGAAACGCGCGATACGGACGTACTGAAACTCTAAGTTCTATTTCGAACACTAAAGTTCGCTAGGTAGCTTCCCTAGTGTCCAATTCTTTGAATTTTATTGTTTCTAGCGGAGTAAAGTCTAGGTCATAGGTACCGCACTTAAGTTAGGAATATGCTGTTTTGTAAAAACATCGAAGCTGTTACCGTTATAATCGTACACAGTTATAATTAACATCAACTAAAGTTCAATTGGTAAATAAACACATATTAACTTTAAGCGTGTGTTCTGGACCTCATTATAAATATAACCGGCGTCCGGCGCATAAGTGCAATAATTCGTACTGAAGTTTGAAATTTGAAACGGGATGAAGTTCAAAGTTTTAACTGCTAACACTATAACAACTTTGAACTTAAAGATTGATAGGTAGCTTCTTGGTGTACTTCAGTGTATAAAGAGCTAAAGTTCAATTACCGTGCCTTCCAGTTCAACAAATATTAAATCAATATGTTAACATGAGTAGTTTAAACATAAGTATAACTATAAGGACATGTATTTGTAAAACATAAGGCGGCAAATATTTTGTTAAGAAAGCGTAGACTTAACTCTCCCGCAAATAAATTATAAGGCGGCAAATATTATGCTAAGAAAGCGTAGATTTAACTCTCCCGCAAATAAATTATAAGGTGGCGAATATTTTGCTAAGAAAGCGTAGATTTAACTCTCGCGCAAATAAATTATAAGGTGGCGAATATTTTGCTAAGAAAGCGTAGATTTAACTCTCGCGCAAATAAATGATAAGGAGGCGAATATTTTGCTAACAATGCGAAGATTTCATTCTCGCGTAAACAAACTAAAAAAAGCGTGCAACGCGCGTCAGACCGTTTGGCAAATATTTTGCTAAGAATGCGCATTTTCCTAACGTAAAATTCGCCTCCTTATGAAATATTTGCATCATCACGCGCAGCCTGGCAAATACATCATAACACGGCGCATATTTTGCTAAGATGGCAAATTTTTCGTTAGCGCGGCAATTATTTGCGTAACATGGCAATGTTGCAACCCGGGAGGGGGCTTATAAATAGTCACGTGCTAACTCCTATGTTTCCCAGGTAACAGTCGAGTGCGCTAATAGTCACGTGCTAACTGATATGTTTCCCAGGTAACAGTTGAGTGCGCTAATAGTCACGTGCTAACTCTTATGTTTCCCAGGTAACAGTTGAGTGCGCTAATAGTCACGTGCTAACTCTTATGTTTCCCAGGTAACAGTTGAGTGCGCTAATAGTCACGTGCTAACTCTTATGTTTCCCAGGTAACAGTTGAATACACTATAAATAGTCACGTGCTAACTCCTATCCTTCCCAGGTAACAGTTGAGTGCTCTAATATAAGTCACGTGCTAACTCCTATCTTTCCCAGGTAACAGTTGAGTGCGCTAATAGTCACGTGCTAACTCTTATGTTTCCCAGGTAATAGTTGAGTGCGCTAATAGTCACGTGCTAACTCCTATGTTTCCCAGGTAATAGTTGAGTGCGCTAATAGTCACGTGCTAACTGCTATCTTTCCCAGGTAACAGTTGAGTGCGCTAATAGTCACGTGCTAACTGCTATCTTTCCCAGGTAAAAGTTGAGTGCGCTAATAGTCACGTGCTAACTGCTATGTTTCCCAGGTAACAGTTGAGTGCGCTAATAGTCACGTGCTAACTCCTATGTTTCCCAGGTAACAGTTGAGTGCGCTAATAGTCACGTGCTAACTGCTATCTTTCCCAGGTAACAGTTGAGTGCGCTAATAGTCACGTGCTAACTCCTATCTTTCCCAGGTAACAGTTGAGTGCGCTAATAGTCACGTGCTCAGTCACGCTGACCCCATATTCTGCAACTCATCAGGCCTCTGGAACGGGTCCCTCCCCTCTTGTAACTTCCCCGACTGCCCTGATCTGTCCAGTCTAGACGGTGTCACTTTGTAAGTTGGCTACTATCAATGATAAGATATGCTGTGATTGTGCATACAAGGTGTTCCAAACAACTTTATTAATTATTAGTCTATGGAACCGGTTCCATTAACCCAACAACAATAATTGTGGCACTAAATATAATTTTCTAATATGCTGATTTAATAAATATCCTGCAAATAAGTACCATATCCTGATTTTAAGAACGGGCACTAGTGTTGGGGACACAGCATCACTAGATTGTGGGAGCTGTAAGAAGAGTAAAGGAGAGAAGCACAGTGTGTGTACTGCTGGAGGGGTCTGGGACCCTCCTCTCGGCAGGTGCCAAAACGTCATCTGCAAAACAAAGGTACCTGACTCATTATTTTATATATTACCTGTCTCACAATTAATGAGATTAATTAACTACGAAAAGTATGATGTAAGCCATCGGAACGATTTCTGAGCAAATTCGACAGTTGACAATTAACAATCTATAAGTAAATTTATAACTTTATAAGTAAACTTCTAACCAAAACAATTGTCAACAAATAAAACTTTACCTCGTCAGATAAACAGAAGACTCTACGAATCTGTTGAAGGAGGAATCCCGACTAAATGCGGGAAAAGTGTCTCGTTTGTCTGTAAACCTGGTTACACTACTATTGGCAGGTAATTCCGTTGTTCCTAATTAACTAATTACTAATCTATTAGCAAACTATTTATCATTTTATCAATAAGCATTACATTTTCTGACATTTCATGTCTCACGACGTCCCCCTTTTTAAGCCTTAAACGTAATATTAAAATTTAATGAGCGATAGGTGTTATTTGGAATTTGAGAACGGTCATTTGATTTGTTCCTTTTTCGTGGAAGGAAGAGCCTAAAACTTTGTCTGAAGCGTACCTCACCTCACAGCTCACGTTTTAACAATTCTCTCTCAGGACCACTATCACGTGTTACGACACAGGTCAGTACGATTACCACGTCCCTTTCTGTGTGGAGAGCGGAATTTTCAGGGTCAGACGTCAACGTAGAAAACGAGACGATTTTGACGAATCTTATGATCACTCACTTGCTGAAGATTCACACGATTTTGAAGAGTCACATGATGTTGAAGATTCAGTAGATTTTCAAGATTCAGTTGAAGAGTCTCTTGTTACGGACAGTTGAAGAAGTGATGATAATTTGAAGATCATAATTAAATTTACCTGATCGAGAAAGCGAAAAGTGAAAGACTTGCACACGAAGAAATAAGATATGGTGAGCAGTCAGTTTTACTCTAGGATCATTACGAAAAGAACATGTATTTTAACGGATAGTTCAGTTTCGCACCGAATCATATGCACGACTGTTAACAACATAACAGTGTTAACATTGTTAACAGTGTTAACAGTGTTAACATTGTTAACAGTGTTAACAGTGTTAACATTGTTAACAGTGTTATCCGGCTGGTTTGAAGAGGAAGACTGTTTATGGACTCTTTGGACGGCCTTCATCAGTAGATTGAATGGCAGTTTTGCTCACATTTGTATTGCTGGGTTAAACTCATATGGTTACCGGGTTTCTGCTTGCCTTTATCTATGGTTTACGGTCTAATGTTTCTAGTGAATGATAGGTTTTTCGGGTTTGAGAAAAGTGTTAAGATTTTAGGAGCACCGAATTTGGTTCTGGTTCGTATGATATCACATATCAGAGGCAAAATTAAGCCTTGATACTGGTATTTGTTTACACTCCAGTAAAAACTAAGTCGCGGAGTTTCATTTAATTTCGAAATTGGACGCTATTTATATATTTGAGCAGCATATTTGGTCCCTATTTACTGAAATTACTGAAATAATGGTTAACAACGAAATTTTACCAACGCAAATGTTTCGTGTTTTCGCAGAGCTTTGCAAAAACATTTTCAGTTATGATTAAGTTTAACGTTATTATTTTTCAAAATAGGATAGTGATTTTTTAGGTGCCCCAAAAGTTTAATTGTTTTAAGAGTGTTTGAGCAAACGACTGTTAAATTTGTATGGAATTTCTCTCTGAAGAATGTTTTGATATAACTAAACATTACAATCAGAATAAATGAATAGTATTAGTACTAAAATATCTTTCGATCAATTTCGAGTTTAAACATTAAGAAAAATTCATGATTGTAAAATTTGTTCATAGAAATCATTACGGTAAGAGAGCCCAACAATTGATGTAAAATTATTATTGTTTTTAAATTATATGATAACTAGAATTAAATCTGGCAATAGGTTTTTTAAAAACGTTTATCGAAAATCCAATGAATTGTGCAATTTAATTGATTAATTACACTAATTGATTACACCCTGCGTAATATCGACTTTAACGCTATGTTTATAAAGTTATAGAATGTTGTGATACTGGTTATTTGTTTTTGTAACTTTGTAAATTATTTTAAGATCCGTAAAAATGTGTCTTGTTTAATAATTTGTTGAATCTTAGAAAATCATTCTGATCCAGTGCTGAATATAGAATTTCCCCTGAAAATTAAAGAGTATAGCGACGTAGCGTTATTAATGAGTGAAGATCTTTCAACATTAATGGTTCATGGTCAATGTGCAATGATTTTACATGTACATTGACCTATGCAATTAGTAATCATCATGTCGCTTAAATAAAAAATGGTAATTCATTCTGAAAATGAAAATTACAGTACATAGTATTTAAAGTTAAGACAGGTACTAACAAAAAATTGCTCGCACGAGCCCCCCATGCAGTATAAGTAAACTGGAGCATAAAAATTGAATAAGCGTATATAAAAATTAAATTATTTTATACACTGCAAGAACTTCAAAAGATTTGTAACGGCCCCACGCACAAAGCAATTAACACCAACACAAATCAAAATATTATTGACAATGTAAACCCTTCCAGATCGTTGCTTTGATTCGAAGAGCAACGATCTTCCTTAAGAGCTTAAGCGAATCAAAATGACAATGCTCCGAGAAACGTTAGCCGTAAGCAAACTTTAAAATGGTTGACTATTAAGCTAATATTGGGAAAGATACCCTGATCATAACCTTCAACCTAATTCTGCTCTGATTATCTTACAGGTGCGATTCAGGATATGTAAACAAGTTGTGGAGATGTGACGGACAGGCTGACTGTAGTGATGTGAATGACAATCCAAGACGAAGTCAATCGAATCGGTGGAATTTTGGAATTATTCCAAATAATGTCTCGTTATAATATGTCCCTAATCACAATTCAATCTGTAATGAATATGTTTCGTATGAAAAGAAGTAGAAATAGTGTAAGGAGTTTTTAATTTGAACGGTCCAACAACTCTTTTTCGCACCGGAAGTTTATTTGGGAGTTAAAAATTGACTCTATACATGGAAAATTTTTCCCCTAATGAAGAGGGTTGTTGGATAAGATCTGAGGGCTACTCACTCTACTGTTTATTAAATTATTATCGACTTCCCGGATCTGGTTTGGAATGTGGCAGTCTTAATAAATTCTTTCAACCTATCAAAAAATAATTCTTTTTGATAATCAATATTCGGGTGACGAGTGGACCAGGTATCCTGGCAAAACGAAGTTGAAAAACAAATATCAAAATCTAGTTTATCAATATTTGACTTTACCATATATTGATGTCTTCTGTTTCGTCGAGTGGGTTCCCGGCCATTATATTTATATGAGACATTATATTACTTTGACATAATGGCGCCATGTTTTGTTGTGATGACATCATGTTTTGCTGGGATGGAGCTAAGTTTTGTGGTGATGACGTCCCTTTTTGTAGTGATGACGTCATACTGTGACTTGTTGGGATGTGTTGGTTAGTTGATGTTTGGTGTTCAGCTGCTACAGAGGGGAATGTGGGCTGACACTTTTCTCCGATTAATGAGGCCCTTAAATGTACAATTTTTATTTACAGAAGTGAATTCGAAGATTTTGCCTGGTTGGTGGTATTTGAAGATCAGTTATTTTAGAAATGCTATTAAATTCAACTATCTGATTAAGCCTAATCATGTTATTAAGTCTCACGTTTGATGATTCTTAAAACAAATTTCTGATTATTTTTTATTTGACTAAGTGCAGACAATGATGTTATGAAAAAAATAAGTAGGTAGATATTAAGTTAATACATGCAACGTAATATTCAAACTCTGAAACGATTCAAATCTTTTTTTAATCTTTATTTATTTATTTATTTTTTTAATTTTTTAAAATTTATCTAAAAATGACATATATTATCATTATATCTTAAAACAAATCTTAGCAGCTCCGAAGAAATAGTGATAATATTTAGAGAGGTAGAATAGTTGTACCAAGTTAATAGAACTTTGCAAATTTATTCGAACTGATAGGCAGCGCATTAAAAACTATTCAGCTACTAGTACTAAATATAAACTATGTAATATCATGCAACGTGTCGCAAACACGGATAAAAGATATGAAACTTATCAAGGTGTCATTGCACTCATTGATCGAGTGATCAAAGATTAAGATAAGACGATCATTTCTATTGCTAGATAAGCTAACATTACCCAGCTTGCTTGTGTATGGCTCACTTCTCTCTTTGGGAGATAGAAGTGAAAGGAATGCGCACGGAGGGAATGGTGCCACTGATAAGTTCAACATTGTTTTTAGATTGAGTGTTAGTTTCTTGTTAACTTGGGTAAATGTCCTACTGTCTTGACACATGCTCTACAATGTACACTTAACTGTTGTGCATGCTATGTTTGTCGGGAGGTTTAGGGTCTTGTTTGATAAAGATCAAGCATACTGATGCATTCTTGAAACAAATTCTCTCCAGATTCTCCAAAAACAAGAGTAAATATTCTTGTACAGTTCACTGTAGAAAATGGGGTTCAGAATGCTGTTGATGGGTAGAACAACCAGAGCTAGCACTTCAAACAATATGGGAGGAGGACTATCACTAACAAGTTGGAAGTATACAGCAGCCCGATAAAAGACAACCAACTTGCTAGCTGTGTTCCTATCATCAGAGAAACCTTCAGAGCTAATGAGGGGGCTGCAGCGTTCTGTCTGTTCATCCCACCTCCAATGTCTCCCACTTCACGTCGAGACTCTAACTGCTTTCTAACTATGATGAGGTAAGTGAGAGTAACTATGACCAGAAGTAGCGATACTATAATAAGGTAGGAGAGTTTATAGATGAAGTAGGATTCTTGTTCTTTAAAGACGTTGTGAACACAGAGACGGGTGTTTCCATAATATCCGATCTCTATGATATCGAATATGTTGTCTTTACTGGTGATGGTGTTGAGGTCCCTGACAGTTGTGTACAGATCAGTTTTGTTCGAGTAATATCTTTCATGTATTTGGTCTAACCTGGTCATGTTTACATAGCTAGAGCTGATGAAGGGATTATCTAGAGAGTTTTTAAAGAACACGTCTGTACGGAAGATATTTTGTATGGCAACCAAAGGAACGATGGGAATCAATGCGTTGATTACATTTATGGCAATAAGTAAAGCAGATGTTATAAATACTGTTTTAAGTTTGGTTTGATGATGTACTCTGACACAATTGACACACCTGACAATACTCATAAGGGCTATTGCACTGAGGGACCCATGTGAAGCTATTGAGAATGTCAGTCCAAGTGCCTGGCAGACGATACTTGATCTCCAACTTTCATCTTGAAGACAGTAGTTGCCATTTGCATGAAGAACCAGAGCTGCCACCACAATACCACAGTTATACAGACCCATACTACCATCAAAGAAAAGAACCTGGAGACACAAGAATCTGTCAACTTTGCCGGCTGATGTGGAGGAAGTGCTGTTGAAGCATATGATCCCCCTCTAAAGTTCAGTATGATCATTGAGACTCCTGCAATAGCTGTGAAAATAAGTAGAAAGTTAGAACTGAGGAGGAGGTTGGATGTATTATCTAAGTTACAGGGATCACATTCGTCACGTCCGTTGGAGCAGTGTTTGATATTATCACAAGTTTTATCAGGAGTCACCCACTCTGTACTCTCAGAGGTATTGAGGGAGCAATAGAAACGTCCTGGACATTCTGCCTCATCCGCACCGTTAGAACAATCTAATTCTTCGTCACACAGTTTAGATAAGGGGTAGTTTTCATCATAGTATTTGGATGTACAAGTGAAATCAATCTGCTTAAACATACCCCCATATGATATCACGATTCTGTTGCAAAACTTATCCCATTTGCCATCACCAAAGTCAGGAGTCTCAGAGCAGTTTGTTTTACAGTAGCTGGAAATATCTTCATTATTATTGAAGAGGTGTATGATAGTATAGTTCAGGCATCGGTTGATAGGGTTGATGAGACGGTTTTCATTATCCGAAACTGCAGAGCAGTCAACATTTTCAATATTATGAAAGGTGCATGAATAATTTAACTCTGAAATGGAGTTCTTTCTTTCACAGTATTCTTTTTGTGACAAGCAAATACTTGAGGAGTTTAGGATAGGACATTCTACTTCCACAAAACCCTTACATAAACACTCATCAGTGCCATCAAGACAATCATTCTTACCATCACACAACTGTGGAAAGGTAATACATCCAGTGCGTTTTGGACAGAAGAAGACATCCATACTGCTGTTGGTACAGCCACATTCGTCTGTCAGGCATTCAGATTTTGTGTTGCAGTAATTGTTTGCATTGATTTTGCAGAACCAGGGTACTTCAGATATTGATTGTACCCTTGAAGGAGGCATGTGATCTCTGAGCACAAGGTCCATAGCGCTAACTGGAAATCTACACTCACCTCTCGTTTTATTTACATTATGACTTGAATTTATAACTAAATCGAACTGACTGAACCTCAATAAATATTTTTGAGCTTCTTGGCAGGTGAGTTGTGTCCAACCTCCAAGGATCATTTGCCTTTCATTTAAGTTGATGATGTTAGGAATAGTTACTAGATCAGCTGGAGGAGGAGTTATACCAGGAGTAGAAGGTTTGTCAGGAGGATGAGTTGTGCCAGGAGTAGAAGGTTTGTCAGGAGGAGGTATACCAGGAGAAGAAGGTTTGTTAGGAGGAGGAGTTATACCAGGAGTAGAAGGTTTGTTAGGAGGAGGAGGTATACCAGGAGAAGAAGGTTTGTTAGGAGGGGGAGTTATACCAGGAGTAGAAGGTTTGTTAGGAGGAGGAGGTATACCAGGAGTAGAAGGTTTGTCAGGAGGAGGAGTTATACCAGGAGTAGAAGGTTTGTTAGGAGGAGGAGGTATACCAGGAGTAGAAGGTTTGTTAGGAGGAGGAGGTATACCAGGAGAAGAAGGTTTGTTAGGAGGGGGAGTTATACCAGGAGTAGAAGGTTTGTTAGGAGGAGGAGGTATACCAGGAGTAGAAGGTTTGTCAGGAGGAGGAGTTATACCAGGAGAGTTTAGAGGAGTTATACAGGGTTAGTCAGGAGGTAGGAGTAGTACCAGGAGTAGAAGGTTTGACAGGAGGGA